AGCAGAAACAGCAGCATGTGCCGCTGAAGTGCAGTTTCAGCAGAGAACTGGTGACATTCACAGAAGTTCGGTCTGCTTCACAGAAACGTATGAGGGCAGCTTATGTGGCAGGCACACACACACATACACACATACACACACACACACACACAGACAAACACGCACAGATTGGGTTGATTGTGCTGACAGCAGGGAAGCATAGCTGCCATTTCTGTGTGTGTGTGTAGCTGCTCTTGTTGTGGCTTCAGGGTGGCCTTGCCATGTACCTTAGAGACTGGTTAGTCAGACATCTCCGCGACTCTCCTTCTCTTTCTCTCTCTCTCTCTTTCTCTCTCTGTCTGTGTGTGTGTGTGTGTGTGTGGCAGTCAGTGACTGATGGCGGGTCCTGGCTGCAGGCTGCTCCGGTTCGCTTGTGTCACACTTGCTCTGACAGCCAACTGTGCTGCGGTGACAGGTAAGCACTTTCCAGGAGTCAACAAAGAACCTGTAGCGAGGAAAAGGGAAGTGTAATGTCTAGAGCGAGTTTTTTTTTTTTTTGCCTCGGGATATGGATGGTTGTATTTTTATGAGAATTATGTATCCACGTTGATTGCTCAGTGTAAAGTTTGCTTACTTCTGAGATTTTTTTTCCCAGAGCCTTGTGTAACCTGACAAGCTCAGTGAGAAGCTTTAGTTATGGAGATAGTGTCAGCCAGAATTTGAAGTGCTATGGGACGATACTTACAGCTGTTGTGCTGTTGGTAACCTTGTATCAGCCACTCAGAGTGTCACGACTATCACACCTACCACGACGACTGATGTAAGTGCAATCTGCTGCTGCTTCTGGTTAATGAATGTTAACAATCACTCACCTGCTGCTGCTGGAGGCTTTGATTGGTCTTGATTCACTGGGTTCGACCGGTGAGGTCAGAATCGTGTGTTTGCATGCAGGGTACTGGTGTTTCTGCTCGGCGGTGAGGCTGTTTGTGTGTGTGTATTTATTTTTTTATTTTTTTGGTGTGTGAAGATCAAAGGGCCACGAGGGCTGTGTGTTAAAAATGAATCTTAGCAGGTTTCACAAGTCATTGAAACACCCTCAGACACCTCATGTAAAATAGCTTTTCTTCCGACTTGAAAAGAGTGTGTGTGTATGAGCTATTTTTGGTGTGTGAGTGTTTTTTGTTTTTTCTCTGGTGGTGTTATGTGCTGATGGGATCATCAGGCAGCATCTTGCCTGTATGTATGTGTATGTGTGTATGATCCTCCACAGATAAAGCGTGCTCCAGACAGCTCTCGGGTGGCTGCCGTGCTGGCGCCGTGTCTGATTGGCTTGGCGGTAGTGGTGATGGTGGGGCTGGCGATGGCCGTAGCCAAACTGCGCGAGAGGCGGCAGACGGAGGGAGGTTTCAGTCCACGGCAACTCGAGGCTCCTGGTGGTCGCAGCCCACCTGCTGAGCTGGGAAACACATCCATCAGCACCTTGGCAGCGCGCGTGGAGCGCCTGGTGTAGTGTAAAGCAGTCAGGAGAGGAGAAGTGTGTGTGTAAGAGTGTGTGACTGCAGAGGGAAAGTGTGAGAGAGAGACAGAAATAAACAGTGTACCCTGTGTGTGAAAAATCTTTCAACCAAAACATTTGCCTGAATTTTTTTTTTTTTTCTATAAGCATCTGTTTCTCTTTCCCACCTCCCCGCAGCTGACCTCTGAGGGTTTGACCTCTGACCTCTTGCTGTCCATCAGTCTGGTGTCTGTTGTCTTGCTGCTGGTTCTCATCCTGACCTCCATTGGACTGGTGGTGGCGCTGAACCGCCGCGCCACCCACGGCACCTACAGTCCCAGCCGGCAGGAGAAGGAGGGATCGAGGGTGGAGATGTGGAGCATCACCCAGCCGCCACCTATGGAGAGACTGATATGAGATGCAGGTGGGGGCAGTGTTTACATGCAGGCTAATAATCTCATTGTTAGAGTCGTGTAGGAGCTGATAAGCAGAAATACTCCTGATATCAGATGTATGGCCAACTCAGATGGGATTGAACATCTGGATCCTGCCTGTAAACATGGTCTTCACCTCGCAGTACCTCCATCCTAAAACAATCGTTGCTGTCTTTCTTCATTCGCCAATGCACATGCTGGAAGACTGTATGAGATCTTGTGTGTAAATACGTAGCCCAGAGATGTTTTGCACCTGGCTTCACCACCCAGCAGTTCATCCATCTAAATGCAAAGATCTGCAATCAGCAGGTATTGAGTCTGTCACATCTTTGTGTCCATAATTATAGAGCTGATGGACCAGTGAACACACACACACACACACACACACACACACACACACACACACACACACACTATATCTTAAAACCTCATCCGGAAACAAGCAGAATAAATCTAAACATTCCTTATTTAAATTCCTAAAATTCGATCCATGTGTATTTATTACAGGAAAATTGTCTCTTCTACTTCTACTGTATAATGTTTCTATTCACTGAGTGTTGCTGCCAGAACTGTAGCTCCTTACTGACAGCATACCTGTCCTTTAAGAGTCATCTTTCAGGATTATAGTTGCACTAGTTGAGAATAGTTTCTTCAAGGCTGGCTTGTATATTGTTAGTAACTGGAACTGTCTGATTTAAGTTGTAATTTTAATTGTACATACTGTACTGATTGTTTTGCTTATTATTTTTTAAACTGTGAATTTTACTTTGTACCTTTTTTAATTATTGGCAGCTGTACGGAAAATCTGTTGGAAAATTAAAGTGAATTTATTCGTGTTGATTTATTCAAGGTCTACAAAGTGTTACGTCTTTAGGAACAGTGTGATTCTACTTTTAGTGTTTGCTTAATCAATAAACCGACACGGTTATAGTAACACGTTATCAGACAACAATTTGCTGTTGTGCTCTGTCACCTCCAAGTGCATAGAGACCCAAAAACCAACCAGTGTTCCTGTAGTGGAATAACACCTGGCCCCAGGTTTTCTGTCTGTCTTATTTGTGGCAATTTAATGAAATGCAGCTTTGGAAAATGCACAGTGTGGACCCTGGGGCAGTTTCTTGCTTTACCTGGTTTTGGCTGTGTGAACTGTAAATACACAATAAACCACACTGACTATTTTGTCAATGCAACACATATTTTTTTCGACATAATGTGAGTCTATGTTGATACAGTGTTTTGGTATAAAGAAAATGAGTCCGGTGATGCATAGGAATGAAACAGTATAATTTATTTTCAGTTCACAGTGCATACATTACGTGCAGTTGTACCAAGTTACTCATCATCAATAGCTCATTAGATTGACCTCAGTTGTTTAAGACAGTTGTTTTCTCTGCCATGAAAACATGCAAGTGTGCACAGAATCAGAAAATCAGTAAATGGCATACAGAAGAGTTAATCATCATTACGATACCCAAACAAGAGACTGAAATGAAAACTAAAAAGTTGCTTACTGTAACATTCAGTGTATTTGTCCATATACTGAAAATATTAATTTTTTTTTTTAAATGCGTGATTTCAGGGAAATGATGTTAATATCTCTGTAAAGTTGAACGCTGCTACATAGTCTTTCACCCTCCTCTCACTCCAAATTTGCAATTTCAGGACACTTATACTTACTATATATTTACTGTTCGCTTAGCTGTCACAGCCCTGCAGACATTGAAATGCAAATCCCCTGACAATCCTCTCTTTGTCGTTGAACGACGTTAGTGTAAACGGGACCAGAGTTACGGTTAGATTTACAGTAGCCAGTTAACCAAAAAAAAGTAGAAATGCTTTCCTCTACATAAATTGCAAGGCAGATGACAGTTAACTCTACAATACCCAATGCAAGGCAGAATGATGTTCATTTCCATCATTTTTGATTTGATGGAATTGCTAAATACTGAACTAATAATCAATACCAAAAGAATAAACCACAACTGTAAAACTAAACAAAACAAAATCATAGCATACAACACATACAGGTACATACATGCAGATACAACAGTAAGCATTGTACCATGTACAAGCAAGCGTCAGTCTCTGCTCATTAAAACGTGTCAAATGCTCCTGAACATGAATGGCTACATGGGACATTTTGTTAATATTCTCTCTCTATTTTATTTCTCCAAAAATAAAATCTAAAACATTCAAATATTAGGTGTCATTTTTTTTTTTTACAACATACAACACCAATCATATATTATCCATGTAAAATATACTCAAGCCAGAAAAAATACACATCTATTCAGTTGAAAATAATCTTTCATCAATATGAAATCAACTAGAGAAACTCGTCTGAGAAATGTTTTTACATACAGTTAGCTCAGAATGAGTGTTAAAGGTGTTTTAAAAAAGAGAGAGAACAAAAAGAAGAAGAGCACAAACTATACAAGTAACCACCTAACAGTACAATCAAAGAAAGTACCTAATTTACAAAAGGACGAATAACCCAGAGAAATTCAGAGATCCTCTCTTAAATACAGACAAGAAGGTTCCCGCTGACCACCGCAGCAAGGGAAAACACTGAGTAACTCCAGCTGGACTGCAGCTGAAACTCAGAAACAGAGCAGCTACAAAAACAATGCGAGAACCCAAGTTCAATTCAGGTCAGTTTCTCAGGTCCAAGTTGGGCTTCTTGTGTGTGTTTATCATATAAATACCGAAATGTTCAATGTTCCTTACTGAGATTGAAGGTGGTCTGAAAACATTGCATACTCATTCCTTCTATAATACTGTACCTTGTTGTGATTATACTGGATGGTACTCCGACTGTATAAGGCACACCATACACTCCCTCTTTAACACCAAAAGACACACCTCAGCTCACACAATTAAATAGACTCTAATATTTATTTATTTATTTAGGGACGCGAGGTTTATTCCCACTAGAAACTAGTTTGATTGTGATTATTTTTCAAGTAGAATCGTATATAATATAATGTGAAAAAAACTGACCTTTCTGATCATTTTAAATATTTGCATAGTAAATAAGTTTTTTAAAGTGTTTGCAATGAATAAGGCCAGTACAGAGATTGTTCTGGAGTCTGTTTTTTTTTTCCTTTTTGGAATTATTACTAGGACTGATTCCTGGGCTTTTAGAAGCACGCCAAAGACTTTATGAGCAAATCGTTAACGCAGAGCAGCACTCAAAAAGTGGAGAAATAGCTGCTATTAAACTGCCACACCGACTGGCGTCTGGCATAAATCATAAGAACAACGAACCATAAATGTAATAATCCCAACACAAGCACATGAAAAAAGCTTCTTTTTTTTTTTTTTCCTTTTCTCTGGGTTTGTGGCAACGCAGAGAATGATGGGAACCCACAATCTCTGGACATGGCGTTTCTCTCCACAGGAGAGTCTGTTATAGAAATACTTTAGACTCTGTACACATTACATCCATGTAGCGACTCTCTGAGGAAAACTGTATTGCTTCATTACAGTACAATCATCAACCACTGCATTACATTACAGTGTGTGACTCTAACCTTGAAGGACAGAGATTGCATTTCCTCATGTGAGACAGAAAGAGGATAAAGACTGAGTTATACAAGTCTGGTAATACTCTGGATTTTTTCTTAAATGTCAACAAACCCCATCAAAACACCAGAACAATGAATTGATACTGACTAGTAATCCAATTATTAAAATAGTCCCCAACAAATGCAGTATTTACTCCTATTTAAAGATGCGACAGCATTTTCTGAGACTGAAAATGGAAAGTACACTCAGTATCGGTGACTCTTTTTTAAAAGTTTACATCACTAGTAAGAACAAATGGGCTCGGGGCTGAGTGCCACAGACAGGGTAGGGAAGTCTGAAAGCAATGAGACAGAATAATGTATTGTTAGTTTTGGTCTTTCCATGGGATTTGTTGATAATAACTCAAGTGTAGAGCACTGCCAGCTATATCCTATAAAGTTCACCCTTTCCACATCCACTCCAAACCTCACAAACTCCACAACAACTGGCCACCATTTTTTTTTTTTTTTTTTTTTTTAAGGTTGAGAGTGAGAAGTAGATGTGCTGAAAGAAGTAAAAGGCAGAAAATTAGGAGAGACAACATGAGGAGCAGAGTGGTGACGGTGGAAAAAGAAAAAGAAGACAAGATGGAGCAAGAGTACTGGCTTTTTTCAGATCATCCATTTTAACTTTTGAGTGTATTTGCATCTCGTCAGAGTGACGGAAGTGTCCTGAGGAACGCAGGAAGAGGAGAGAAAGAGAGGTTCCTACGTGCACATCTCATGATCTGGAATGCAATTTAAAAACAGCAGCTTAAAGCACATCATTTATTAACTACTCTATTCATTCAGATAAATACAGTGCTGTTTAAGTACTACTAATTGTTGCATGTAAGATCTGACATTATTCTGATTACAAAGTACCTGTTACGGTATCTATAGATTAAGACACCAGAGCATCATAAACAAATCACATGTCCATTTAAGGCATGGTGATAGAAAACATTATATTACACAGTGTATAATTAGTTTCAAAGGCCCGAGTGGACTCTGTATCTGGAAAATCCTGTCTCACTTTTGTTCTCGCTCAAATGATTTAAGTACCAGGTAGTAATTACTGAGTATTATTAGTTAATCTACAAGTGCAAGTTCAGTTTAATCATGTGAAATGTTTGGAACACTGAGTAGACGACTGACACGATGGTGTGTTGAGGAGCTATCGTCCCTTCTTAATTCTGAGTCTTTTTCTGGATTGAAAAATGAACAATTCCTCCATCACCGGTTGGCTACTTACATTTTCCCCAAAAATATAATTCATGGGTTATTGTTGGGTGTTGCTTTGTGAATGTGTTACAAGATGAAAACATCAAAATACCACATCCAGAAATTTAGTCGAATCCAGGCAGAAATGCTATGAACAGGAGAGAACAAATCTTCTTGTCGTGTCTTTCTTGTTTGTAATTGAGTTTATAAAGTTGTATTTTCTTAAAACAACTGGGATAACAGCACTCCAAAAATACAAAAAAAATCTCACTCCTATGGCCTCACTTTGTGTTTTTGGAGTGTCGCTATCTTTCAACATTTCCCACTTGTTTTAAAAAACTTGATAAACTCATAAGTTGTTGTTACTTCAGTGGAACACCCAGTTCAGTTGAAAGAAAAGTACTTATTTTGTGTTGGATGTGAAAAAACCTGCCACTGGAGTGAGATGACTTTCACCTGTTTCTTTTCCAAAACAAAGTTGAATTTTTGTGTTTTTAAAATAAGTTTACGTGTACTGGAAATAGGTTAAAATACTTCTGTTATGATGGCAGATTTCTTTCACAAAAAATAAGGATTTCATTATATAAATACAGAGCTGGATGATAGATGGAGAATTCTACGGCGCACCAATTCATCTCCATCTTTTTCCTGCAATAGAGGTTGTAGCTTACGGTTCGATGCCTGTATGACATCAAATTCGTTTGTGACTTTTCCTGATGGCTGAGTGCTAATAAAAAAAAAAAAAAACTTCTGAACCGATCATGTTCTCTGTGTCTGCAGCTAATTGCTATAGAAGAATGACAGTGAACATATTTCATTAGAACCTATGGCATTTTACAGACTCCGAGTCTTTGACGTCCCTTAGGACTCATCTGTGGCTTTGCCCTGGACCTGGTGGTGACTGTTGTTGCAGTGAACCTGTGAGAGCTGCAGGCTGGTGTGGAGGACGGAGCTGAGGCAACACATGGACTCAATCTCCTCAAGGAGGCCTTGATCCTGCACCACAGCTGCCCCGGAGCCTTTACCCTGACCCAGACACAGGCCGAGCCCCAGGAGCCCCTCCTTGGACACCTCTTTCTCCCACGGGACCAGCATAGCTGACTGTCTGTGCTTCGATGGATTCCCCTCACCCTCCAGGTGGCCCTTGCTGCCCTGCCTCTGGAGGGCCTTTTCCTGGTAGTGCCTCACCGTCTCCTTGGACAGCACCTTCCTCCTCAGGACATTGGTGGAGGAGGTCTGGTTCTGGGTCTGGGTCTGGGTCTGAGGAGGCTCCGTGCTGGTTTGGGGGTCTGAGATGGTCCGAGACCGGCCCGCTGGACCAGGAGAACAGTCTGGGTGAGAAACGCTTCCTGGTGAACTTTGGGTGTTAGAGAGAGTGGGAGATGACGGCGTGGGTCTATGGGACAGTACGGGCGAGTAGGAGAAGCGGTGTCCTGGTTGTCGTCCTGAAGGTGAAGTATGAAGGGCTGGGTCAGAATTGGGCTTAGGAGGAAATAACAGGGGTTTGGAGAAATCAGTAGCCTGGTCTGGGGGTGCAGCAGATATGACGGGCACTGGAGGAGCTGTTGCAGGTTTCTTGGACATCTTCATGCTGCTCTTATTGGGCTGTCTGCGCGGGGATGGTGGGAGGTGTTTCCCGTGGACAGCGCTGTCGTCCTGGCCCATATTCCAACCCCCCTGATCCCCAACTCCGCCGCCATCACCTCCACTCTCATCTGCAGGTTTAGACTCGCTGGAAGGTGTCGGTTTGGTCTGCAATAGAACATAAAAGGAAATACCATTAAACAGAAACCTTTATGAAGACACCTGGGTGTCCCCAAAAATCTACCCTCTGTGGGTGAAAACACTATTTCAAGTGTACCTCAACACCAGCTGCTGAGATACACAACTGTTTAAGTGGAGTTGGCACATGCACAGGATTGGTCTACGTCACTAGAAGTTAATATATCAACGAGACATCGAACTTGATTGTCATTATACTGATGTTATGAAGTCCCACACTACCTAATGGAGGTTACTAAATAGTATGTTTGTTCTTCATTGGTTATGGTGTTTTTCTAAACTTTTCACACTCCAGGTGTTAAACTTTGACCTCGATGAAGTAAGAAAGGTTAGTGACATGAGCAACTTGTGTAAAAGTTACTCTGAGTAAATATTAAACAATATTCTGTTATTTATTGATCATGAGGCTGCTCTAAGCATTTAGTTGAACCAACCACTTAAACTGATTAATGTGGTTACTGCTTTGTAATAAGCTGTAATATTTAACGCCTTCAGAACTGTGATAAACTTGAGGGTGATCCCAAATAATCCATTATAAATCTCAAAGGCAACTTTTCACATCAAGTGTTTCTTCAGTTTTAAATAGTCATGGTTATGCTGTAAAAGAAAATGTGCAACATGTCCATATCTGAAGGTAATAAGAGACTTTATGAGGGAGATACATGGAAATACTTGAAGTAAAAAAAAAAAAAAAAGCTTGGGCATGGAACTGAAAGGCTTAATAAATCAAGCAATTGATAAGCTGCACACAAAAGCGATGCATTCTGTAAAGCCGAATTAATTCAACTGAGTGCAGATTTTACGATGACTATTTGCACCCATCTATCCTTAATCCATCAATGTATCATCACATTACTGGTCACACAGTGATACTTTTTTAAATTATGTTTTTGTAATAAGATGTCTCTATAAATAATGATTAGTCCCTCTCAAAATCTCATTTAGTCTTCCTCTCTTGCGTACCGGGGCCTTGTAGTCTAAATCATCCATGGACCTGAAGAAGTCCAGGCTCTTGGCAGCGCTGAGTTTGCCTTGCTCCAGCGTTGTGGTGTTCAGGGAGTCGAGTATTTCCTCCAGCAGATTCATCTGGCCTGAGTGGGAAGAGTCAATGTCGAGCTCCAGCGAGTAGGAATCATCGCTGTCTTCAGTGTAGGAAGGAACATCCCCGCTGTCCTCTGAGGAGATTCTGTGTTTAGAGGAGAAGCGACAGTGACGGGCAGAGTTAAACGCTGGGTCATCTTTCAGAAGATAACTGTGTTTTTAGAGAACATCAAATGCTAATCTTTGCTGTGAACTTTCAAACATAATATTTAATGTACAGTAAATTATGTATTTTTGTCAACAGTTTCTCTGTGATAACTAGAGCCAAAGTAGTTACAGTACATGACTGACATTTCTTTCAACTTACAAAATACTGTATGTCCACTTGGGGGCAGTGTTATCATGAGTAAAAAAAAGATTCAGTCAGCTAGGAAATGCACTTTTCAACAGGCTATCAACTTTTTCTTCATAAAATGAATCAGTCAGCCAGTAATCTTGATATACCTGACATGCATAATTAAAACAACACGAAAATGGCTTCAGTGAAAAAAATACTGAGGGGCAATAGGTCATAAAAGGAGGACTTACTTGCTTGCACTGTCCAGCTCATCATCATCAAGTCCGTAGCCAAGATCTCGAGGGCCCATGCTCATAGGAGACTTGCTGAAGTTATGCTGTTAATGAGAATAACACAGCAAGTGGATGCAGTTAGACAAAAAGACTATGATAAAACAATAAAAGTGGACTCAGGGGGAGCCTCAGCTTAAAGATACAACATGGAGTCTAGACAGAATGTGGTGTTCTGCTGAGGTACAGCTTTTCATAAAAATATGACTTGGGACTCGGTAGAAAAAAGATGCAGGTCTGTGTTTGGTGGGTCCCCATAAGACAGGAGTGCTAGCTTGTTTTAATGAGCCTGAACCCTCAGGGTTGAGACTAAATTTGTCAAATTTGAGTCTGGGGATAAAAATCTTTAATATCCCCTGCAGGGTTTTATCAAACTCAGCATTATATGTGAACTACAAGCTACTTACGCACTGTGAGTTAAGATGAGGGCAATAGCAGAAATCATTTGTATTACAGCACCAGTGCATGTGATTGTATTTGTCACTGCTGCGTGTTGAATGATCAGTGTGTACTGTAGTTGTCTGACACAGTTTAATAAGCCACCTGTGTACCATGTTTAATGGGCGGGTTAAAGAAGAGACAGAAGCTTTACAGAGCAGGGCAGGACTCTCCCCATGGGAGCCCAAATCTGCCCCAGGCCACTTATTAACATGCCTTCCACTACGACGCACATGTTCCTCCCTCACTGCGTGTGCATGTTCGTTTATGTTAATACTATCTTTCACTTTCTAATGTACACTCTTTGCTTTTTGCCCATTTACCTTCTTATATATTGATGCTCACCTTCTATGTCTATTTTTTGGTAATATCTCAAATTGTCTTTCTCTGCGTTTTGTGCACATACAGGCACTCACGGGATACAGTTAAGTTAACATGCTATCACTGCTAACAATCTGTGTGTATGCATGAGTGTGCACTGCAATGTTTTCCCTGTTTTTTGGGTTTTATTTTTTTTTACACTTACTTGGCTCCACCTCTCTTTTTCTCTGCGTGTTTCTTTGTAAACTCACGTTAGCCACATTATCAAAGCCCAACACTGAGAAAAAGGCTCTTTACAACCCTAAAAGTGAGCGGAGCACAGGGGGTGTGTTTAAGAGGTGAGGATGGTAGTGTTTGTGTGCTTGCATTGTGGTTTTGGGTCGCAGGAAAATCAGAGGCACAAAGGTGAAAAATAGTGAGAAACATTTATGGAAAAGAAAACTGAACACAAGACCAAATGAACGAAGGAGGAAGGTAAGGAATGAAAAAGGGAAGGAAGGAAATGTAGAGAGGTGAGGAAAGATTCCTCAAAGCCCCAAAGAATGATGGGAATGGTGGGGGTGGGGTGGGGGTCAGTATTGGAACCGTGAACCAAGCCGGTCTTGATTAGCCGACACAGTGCCAGCCAGACAGGCGGAATGTAACGTGTGGCTGGCCTGGCCTCATTTAGGGCCTGTGTTCGGCCAGGGAAGACACACACGCACACACGCACATGCACGCGCACTCACAGACACACACACAGACACACACACAGACACACATACACACACACACACACACACACACTCTCCCTCTCCTTCTCACATACGCACACTCAAGTCACATACGCACCCTATTACAAAAAACACAAAGAGTTAAAGTGCCATTTTCTCCATAAAAGTCAGCGGAGGAGATGTGTGCAGTAGCCACTTAAGCCTCTCAGCCATCGGGCTAAACACGAACACATGTGGTGGCACTGCTGATTGGCCAAGCTGCTCCCCTTCCATGGTAGCTTGGAGCTATAATGAAAGAGATTTCAGAGGGGCTCAGGCCTGGGATCCCTAAACAGCCTTTAATGGATTCCTGTGTCAGGGCAGTAAATCTGGGGCCAGGCCGACATGCCAGCCAGCCAAAGCGGGCCGGCAGAGCGGAGATGCACCTGTGAGATACTTGGGGAGGGTCGGCTTTAGACAGCAATACTTACAAACACTGCAAACACATGCACTGTATGTTTATGGTGCATGCAGTAATTTAGTCTGTTCATTTGTGCGACAGGGCTGTGTGCAGGGAAGCGGGGCCTCTCTCTGCGTTTAGGTGTTTATTAAAGCAAGGTGAACCCATACACAACCAGACACAGGTCATGAAGCCTGGCCCTCTGATCTCGGTTACAGCTTTGGTGCCGTCTACCTGAGAGGAAGTTCCATAGGGAGCAGTAAATGGATGGTACCTCACTTCACGGCTTTATCAATTTGTCATTCCCTCTCTTCACTGTGACCCTTTAGTGCAGCAGTTAAGATTAAACTATTTACAACAACTGAGCATTTTACGATAGAAGCGCCAAATTTGGCACAGGAGTAGGTTTATATCCTTTTTGCTTTTTGAAAATGGCCAACATATTGTATTCATTTTACTGGTAATGTGAGGTACTAAGTATGTTTTTGTCAGTTACTTAATATACATAATATTACTGCTCCTCCAGAGCTGTCCAAACCAACAAGAGCAGTTAAATCTGAGACCTAAAATTAGATGTACTGTATGCCAATGTAAAAAAAAAAAAAAAAAAAATATAGACTCTTCAAATTTAGACATTCACAATGAGATATTCTCAACCAGAGCAAACAGGTTCTGTGTTAAAGCTGTGACAGCTCTACCACCATCCCATATCTCCCCAGGCCTGACAGGACAGTGGAAAGCATGAAATAGCAGAACAACAGATTATCATACTGCGCCTTCATTAGCTTCTCGCTGTCGGCTAATGGGAATCTGAAAGGTGAAAATGAAAAAGCGATTCTCCCTCCATGCCTTCTCGTCTCCCATTTTCTCCCTCCATCACTCCGCTGTCAGTGACAGATGTCATTGTCTGGCTCTCGCTTCCTTCCTCTCCACCACAAGTGAGACTGTACAGAACGCAGAGAGCGAAAGAGTCAGGAGGAGATACAGCAGAGGAGCAGGCGTCATGAAAATAATAAAAATGGTCAGGGTATTTCAGTAAAACCAGCTCGATCCAGTATTTTGGAAGAGGTAGGGAAGCCTCTTGTGTTTCTTAAATCAAGGAAAAGATTTGACATCTCCGCTTCTCTTGCAAAGTGAACTCCTTTTTACTCTGCAGGAAGCATTTCTTCATTATTTTTATGTTATTTTGTGATTATATTACTTTGGCGTCTGTGTCCCTGAGTATCTGGCTAAAGAAGAAAAAGAATCCTGACTCCCTCCAGTTTCATTGTCAGACGAAAAAAAACAAACACATACTCTCTTTTCTTTAGTTTAAGATTACCAGTCTTCAGTTTTGGATTGTGAGTAAATGAGGGCAGAATGGTTAACAGGACTAAATTATCTTTTATTCTGACCCTTTCATACCTGGACCCTCCAATAAGCAAAAGGTATGAAATATATCTAAGGGGGCTTGAAAAAAGTCTTCAGATTTGATATAACAAATTACATTTCATTTCTGCGGTTATGAGGGGAAAATAGTCATCATCATCCATTTTAGTAGCTGCATTTGGAGAAACAAACTTTCCCCTCCTATTCCCTTCCTTCCCTGCATGACCGGTTATGCGGAACAACTATGCCTCTCTGTGACAGGGCCAAACGCAAGTGGACTTTAATAGCAAGTCTTACATTATACATTTCATATGGTATTTCTGAGTGGGCACTGATCTCACAACTTGGCAGTGTATGTAAAGAGATGCCGGTAAAATGCAAACAAACCTTGGGGAGAGGCAGAGGCTTTGTAGAAGTATGGCCAAGTCTGTGTCTGCCTGTTTAAGAGCTGCTCACTCGAAAGGGGGGGAAAAAAAATAACGTTTGAGGCAAGATCCACTGCGTTTCTGTCCAACTGGCTGTTGCTGAAAGCCCACTTCCTTTTCGCTTAAAACATGAGCCATATAAAAGAAGGAGAATGTGCATTATGCTCATTCTGTTAGACTAAACCAAACTCATCCAGTAAAATCACCAGGTGTCTTTCTGTGAATGGGTGCAGTGCAGTACTGTGACGGTGCCAGGAGATGGCACTTTGGTTTCAGCAAGGAGGCCGTGACTTAGTTACTTGGTGTCTGAAGTGGGGAGAAACTGGGCAAAAGTGAAGACTACAAACGCATACAAATAACCATGTAAACACACACACACACACACACACACACACACACACACACACACACACACACACACACACACACACACAGAGCTATGGACACAGCCACTGTACTTAAAGTTCACTGGGTGCATCATAACTATTGATTTAAAATATTTATCCATAATATTAATCTTACAATGAATATTATATGCTTATTTGAACAATTTTCCATTTTACAATCACATCAAAAACTATTATTATGAATTATGACAAACACGCATAGTATGCTCTATAATCTACAGTAAGTGAATATGTTGTGAAACAGTTATTAGCTATTCAGTTTACTCAGAAAGTATTGCTTTTGCATATTGTCCATATTATAGCATTTTCAATCATGCACTGAATATAATGAACACACAAAGTCTGTGGACTGCATTATGAGCAATACTTCAAGTTAAGTGTTGCTGTATTAAAAATACATATTAGTGTAAGCATGTTCAGAGACACATGATAGTTGTTCAAGCCGAAATCATCAACACACAAATGTGCATTTCCCTGAATACAACACAGACACTTCACAAGTCATGTGTACAGTGTACATATGTGTCCACTGGCCATGAACACATGAGCTGTCTCCCACTGATGGAGCACACACAGATATTCACCCATGCATTCACACACACACACACACACACACACACACACACACACACACATACACACACACACACACACACACACACACACACACACACACAAGTATCCAACAAGTATCTTTGTTGCTCTGGTTTACATCTGTGTTAACTCTCTTCTCTGTTTCCCCTCCACACGGAGCTGAGTGGTGTTTTCCGGGCTGGCATCTTTTCTGCCTCACCAGGTGAAGAGTCCACAGCCTGGGGCTGAGCCCGGCCACAAGCCTGCTGGCTGTCATTGTCCATAACACTGTCCCAACCCCTACTCTCCTCTGCTCTCTTAACAGCTGTCATTCTGTTGCCTCCAACCTGAGGCGAACTGTTTAATGCATGCATGTTTGTGTACATGGGGCACACACACTGAAATACATGCTCATGTACAAAAGGGCTGAGGTACAGACACACTTTCTATTTGCGGATGCTTACAGCACAATACCACATAAAACACGCACACACAAAATATACTAAATCTTACATACAGAATCTCAAAAACAAAAGTGGCACTCACACACAAAACCATCCAGGAGCCAGAACAATGGTTGCTGTTTGTTGTATCAGACGAGAAGTCAGCAGTCCAATTCAGTCTTGTTTTTGTCAAACGAAAGGATTACTCCTACATTCCTAATCAACAAGCTCACCAAACACTACAAATCACCCACATTGCCGGATACGGCTGAAATATGTACGCATATGACAGCAGCACTTTCACTTTGGTACATGTGTTGACTGATCAAATAGAATATGAATTTCATAACTCTGATTATTTTTGCTATGATTAATTAAAAGAAGCTTCTCCAGGATCATTCATTTCATTTCAAGGACAGACTTAGAGGTGTTTGCTAAAAAATGATGAATGATAAAAATGTATCAGGATTTTTCTTTTCTGTCATACACGAGTGGAGAATGTCTTTAATCAGATCACATTTTTTTGTGGCTTCTGATGAAAACGTGTCTGTGAATTTATCTGGCAGATGAAGAGGCATTTGTTTGTCACTTGGTCAAAGGTATGAAGATACAAAGAGGACACAGGGAGGCGGCGTAGCAAAGGACACAATCCACAAGAATATGTCAATATGTCACCTGGTGTATATAATGCTTAATATCTTTTTACTTTGAGAGAGGTGAGGGAGCAGTTTTGTTCCCTTGTGTTTGAATAAGAAGGATCACTGCTCTTGCTTTGATGTCATTTCACATAGGAATCGTAGGATCTTTTTTTTTCTTATTTATAAGATTATATTTTTAAGATTGAAAAATAAAAGCTGTTATTGTCATATGGAGACATATTTGGAATTGTGGATTATATGGACAGAGTCAGGAAGCTGGCTTGTGCACAGAGAGGGACTAGGACATACTGCAAAGACTGAGGAGCTAGAAATAAGGGTAGGCCAAGCAAAGGAGGTCTGTGTGTGGGCATGAGGAGAAGAGGAGCTATGAGGATAAGAGGATAAAGGTGTGGTTTTTTTCATGTTACTTAACCTTTATTTAACCAGGTTAGTCCCACTGAGATCAATTTCTAGTGCAGGGAACACCTGGTCAAGACAGTTGTGGGCAGAACAACAGTATAAAGATTTCATAGGAAGCAATCTCAGGAAAAAAACACAGAAAGGTGACAGACGGAGAGATAAGAGAGTGTGAGAACAATAGCTATGTTTTTTGGGACTGTAATTGAAATATAAATAAGGTGTGCTTTTAACAGTTAGGTAAAAGTAAAGAGTAAAGTGTAGCAGCTTCAGAAAAAAAAAACAGGAAACCTAAAAGGAGCCTTAACTTCATTACATACTTGCCAAATAATTTTTCAATGGTATTTTATAAACAAAAAACATTCTTCCTGACGTTTGTTTTTTCAGAGTTTTTTTTTTCCCACATGCATTTTGAGTTTCTAACTAATGTGCTTTAATTTGTGTAATAAAGACATGAAACCAAGCTATTACGGATATCCTGAAAAACAACAAAACATTGAAAGCATCTCCAGTTTCCTGACAACATTTGTTTGGGAGCAAATGTTTTGAAGAGTTTCAATCTTTCAGGGGTTACTGCATCGACAGGCCATAAATTATCAAGGCTTTCTTGGCTTCTCCATTTTCAGTCTTTTTGACAGAAAAGAATCTTGGATCGACAAGACTTTTCAAAACACACAAAACAGGAGGGTTTGCATGAGGGTTTTACTGTGTATGGGTTGGTATAATATACTGAACCACCCCAACCTGGATTAAGAACTATTAGTAGTTAAGAAGGCGATGTGAAAAGGTAAGAATGTGTTGTGTATAGCTAAAGAGAAACTGATGGACTATATATAAACACTAACAGACAAAACCAGTGCTGTGGGACATGCTATCCCGTGTCCTGCGTGTCCCTCCTCCAGTGGTCCCCAGGGACCCGTTACTGTGGCAATGAACAGGCCTCAGTGGCATGGACAGGGGTGTGAGTGTGTATATATCCTGAATACAGTGCATGTGTGTTTGTGGGTGTGTGCGCACATCAACTGCATGTTAACTTTTAATCTGAGTGTGTGTGTGTGTGTGTGCTGGCCCGTCTTTGTGTGTGCACTAGCTGGGGGGGAGGGTGTCCGAGGAGGCCTTTAGAAAAGCCCTAATTGCCGTTCCTCTCCTCTCCCCGGCCGTCACACCTTCCTCTGTGCTAAGACTTTCCAGCCTCATCACACACACAGGAAACACAACGCTAATTAGAGACAGCACAACCTCTCCTAATCACACTCTTACATGACTGTGACTAAAATGTCAGTGTGTGCATGCAGGCATGTTTTTTTTAGTATTTTTTTTTTTTTTAGACAGAATTTGGAGTCCATTTGCTATTTTTTTTTTTTTCATTTAGCAATAAGAGGTGAAAACGCTCCAGCTGGGATTACAGAGGTATAGATATGCAGTGGGAGATATAACTAGTATCCCTGAGGCTGTATGCATGTGTTTTGTACTGTACAGTGTGCAATTTTAATTACATAAAACTAAACTTCCAACACTAAGAAATATAAGTGAGCATATTCATTTACACTACACTGCAGTGTCTCATAATTTTCTAATGTTCTTAACTCTCCTGATGAATTTATTGATGAATGTGTACTTTGTGAGCGTGCATGTACTTGCTCATCGTATGCCAGCTCTGCACACAACAAAGAAGAAAATGTGCTATCCATTTATGGTGCACAAGCAAATTCTTCAGAGGAAATGCTGACCAGCAGATGAGTTGCTTCTACTGTCCGTGCTGTTCAGAGAAAAATACTGAATGTACATCATGAGTGTGTTGAAAGACAAAAATGCTTATCATTACATTTGGCGCCCTGACAAACTACTGTACTTCTAAGAGTTGCTACAAGAGAGAGAGGGAGAGGGAGAAGGAGAGAAAGAGGAGAGGGATGGAGGTAAAAAAAAAAAAAAAGAAAAACATGGGGATGGAGGAAGGGAAAAAAGAGCAATGGCTGAAAGAGTGAAGAAGTGGAAGACTGCATCCATGTCGGTCCAGTGAAAACTGAGCTCCGGCTTGATAAGTCAGTGTAAATGTTGTTAACTCATTTACTGATGTGAGTCTGTGTGTGTGTGTGTGTGTGTGTGTGTGTGTGTGTGTGTGTGTGTGTGTGTGTGTGTGTAACATACTCGTCTCATCTTCTGCAGTCTCCTTGGAGACAGGCTCTTGGTGCTGGTGGGAGACCCTGCACAGACCGTCATCCCCTCTTCTTCTTCTTCCTGAGAGACAGATGAAGAATGTAAATCTTGAACCAGACCACAAGACATTAAATGCATTTCTCCCTTATATAAATTAATCAATTTCAAATAAAAGAATTTAAGAGATTTCTGAGTTTAATTTAAATGAAGATAATTTTTTCTTACCATCAACAAATCCCATGAAAAGATGAGCTGTAACAAGTATTTTGTATCTAAAGCCTGATACAGCTTATTCCTCTGTGTCATGGACCCAAAGTCTTATAAATAATAATCCATAAACTGTTGCCTGGTGACATGATCCTTCATTTTCACCATAATGAAGGATGTACTTTATCTTAGTCAATCCCACATACGCCGTTCTGTTACTGAGAATACTTAATACTTAATACTCAAATTTGCAGCTGAAATAGACCCGCCCCAAAAAATATATTATTTTGTTCTATTTGAGTGATGTTTGCTTAAAACTACAGTATCATCTTGTTTTTTTTGTTGACTTTTTCAAAATGAAAGTATATATTTGTATTTTTAAAGATTTATGTCTTCAGTAGGAACTAATGGGCTTGGGTCTGACAGCCACAGACACAGTAGTGAAGTCGGAAAGTACTGAGAGGACTAAAGCATTGTTGGTTTTTGTCTTTCATGGGATTTTTTTTGACAATAAGATATATGGTATATCACCAGCCTTATACACTAGCAGGTTACAACAATAATAATCAAGGTAACCAAATCTAATCAGTTTAATTTCATTATGTTTGTGCCTGGGGTCTTTGTGCAGACATCTGCAGCTAGAAGTATCACATTGTAAAAATGCTCTGCAGATTAATTGTGATCCTAAGAAACTTGAATTCATTTGTCTTCTGCCTGCACAGGAAATCTGACTTCAAAATTGGATGGATTTCAGCACCTCTGTTTGCCTGTACTGTGTGTGTGTGTGTGTGTGTATGTGTGTGTGTGTGTGTGTGTTTGTGTGCGCATGCACGGTGCGGAGCGCTGCGTGCTCCTCTTGTTCATCATCAGTGCCCTCTCTCCTCAGTTTCCCACTGACAGATCAAACTGCTATTGCCTTATCAAATCCATCAGGCTTATGGAAACATACACCTCGTTACATTAGCTTTGAGGAAATCACAGGCTCACTGATGAAATATGCAGACAATAAAAGAGAAAGAGGGGCTGGGGCTCGGATGACATGACAGGCCATAGCCAGAGGGGCGCTGGTTAAAAATGTACAGCTTGAACAAAGCGCTAAGCAGGCTTCAACAGTCATTAAAGGCCCCTGCGTCAGAATCACACACTCCATGTAAAGCAGCCTTCCTGTCTGCTTCTATGAGGGGGGTGTGTGTCTATCTGTGTGCCTCAGAACACAATTATGTGTACATGTGTGTATGTATGCTGGTATGAGTGCGTGCATGTGTGTCAGAGAGGTGTGAAGGTCTGCACTGCTCACCCTTGCTTTAAGTCTGCCCTTAATGTCCCGGATGCCCCTCTTGGCATGACTTTTGGCCTAGGTGGAAAAACAACACACACACACACACGCACATGCACACACATACACACACACACGCACGCACACGCACACACACACATACACATACATACACAGACACACACACACACATACACACAGATTACTAATCAAAACATGTTGCATTAACATTCTGCACTGGTTTCATGTAACATCAAGAAATGCTTTGATCCCTGTGGCAAAAACACGGAGACAAAAGGTTGGATAAGAGAGCCTCGCACACTAACAGGAGGCGATAACATGAAAGGGCACCCTGACCACCTATTGTACAGCACATAATGACATGCTACTGCTCATCAAACACCGACTTGTCATGAACAATGCTTCCACTCGCTCCACAACCAATTGCAACAGACACATTTTACGCTAATTTTCATATATTCAAGCATGATGATTCATTTTCTCTAAAGAACCTGCAGAATGTCATGCGAGGTCTATTTCAATGGATTTTTTTTTTTTTTTTTTTACAGACTTGAGGATTCAATTTAATTTACGTACAGTATTGAACAAAGCACTGATGTGGCTGCCTATTAAGCAGTTTTGCAGAAGAACGTACCTTTGTCACAGCTGTGTTGATGAGTGCTCCTCCTCTCTGTAACAGGCACAGACAATTATTTGTCAGACGCATAAAGACGTTTTGAAGGAGTTTCCACACATGTACACACATTCAAACCAATTATTATCAGGTATTTTTACATCAATTATTCATATAGAGAATATATACAGTTTTATATGAGGAGTTTTGCCTTGTCTAATGCATAACCATGGAAAGGTGTTGACTGCCTTAAATCAGACTGATTATTTTATGTAACATTTTGCATACATTTGCAAATCTGTGATGTACAGTAAACTCACCAATATCACAATCAATATTTCTACCACATCACCAACCAACCGAGTAGTCACTCAGGACCAATTTTCAATATCAAAAAATCCAAAACTCCCTCTGCAGCTCAGAATAGCAGTGTAATATCAGTTAAAAAAAAAGAAAAAAAAGTGGTGACATCAGGCAAAGTACCATATCGCTGAGCCATGATAAACTGCACGATTCACGACATTCAGGAGGTTTTTATTTAGAAGCAGAATAAAACAGCGATGGAAGAGACTGTGTGTGATTGATTTCTACTTTGAGTTCTGCAGACTGACTTTATGGTACCCAATATCTCTGTGTGCCTGTCTTCTTTTCTCACTCTGAGTTGCTGCATCTCTCCTTTGGCGTCTCACTCTTTTTCTCACTGTTTGGTCTTTAGTGTAAGCACAAAGCGTCGGCTAAACGGCTAAACAGAGTAAATGGCAGACAGTGTTTCAGAAGTCGGCGGAGGGAGAGGAGGAGAGGGGCCGAGGTGAAGGCCCCTCTTATAGATCCCTGTCAGTCAGGAAATGTGAACTTTAACAAACCTTTGAAGAGCACTCTAGAGAACTAATTCAGCCTTAGCTGACGGCGTGGGGAGAGAGGGAGGGTGAGGGAGAGGGGGAGGGTGAGGGAGAGATGCTCGGTGAGTGAGAGAGCGAGAGACAGAGGGGGAGCTGTGACAGAGATGAAAAGAGGGAGAGAAATAAAGAGAGAAAGGAGAGGAGGAAAGCGACAGAAGGAGATGAAGAAGGAGGGAGCGATCTATGTTCTTGGGTCGGTTCAGCGGAGTAACGCCTGTGTTTGCTGCCAGATCAACATGTCATGTTGGAGGACGTCTTGTCACGTCAAATCACTTCTGTCTCCCTCCCTGTCTGTCTCCACTGTCCTGCTGCACGCGCCGCTTCACACACCAAACTGCACTCAAGCTGGATCTGTACATTCAGACAGCCCCTTCATTCCAAAGGCAACACCAGGACTTCAAACGGAGTCGTGTCAATCACACTTTCAATTAAATATAACTCTGAAATAAAATGAGTGAAACATAAAAAAAGCCATAGATAAAAGCATTTAGGTGTGATATGCACGACATTCTGTGAATACCTTTACAGTGTGCATCCATTGCTGATAAGACCTTGAATTACCTGAAGGGATGTAGAAAATAGGAAATATGAATTATCATTTTGCACTCAAGAGCACAGTATGAACATTGCAAAGCAAAGGTAACTATGGATATTACACTGAGGCACAGTCCTATAGCTATTATTGCGCATTTTAAATTCAAGTCAAATATATTTCTGTATTGATCAGGACAAATGTAGTGACAGAATTAGGGAGTGTGGTTGAAGAAAATAATGATGGTAATAAAACTAAGCTCTGCAATATGTCTTGAGCCTTAATTCTGGTAAAACTCTTTTCAGTAAACTTTCAAAGTGAAAAGTTATTTTCTTCTTTTGTCCCTTTTGCTCTTTAACCAATAATAATAACAATTATAAACTAAAACATTTACTGCTGAAAATTACCTTGAAATAATGGACTTGTGAGGGCAGAATGGAGGATTGTTTAGAGAATATAATTACAGATGACAGTGTGGGTTTGGGTCAAGATCAGAATAGATAAGCCTAATAATATGATGGGTATTTAGCTGCAGCATCTGGATGGCATTTCTTTTCTCTTGTCGTGTAAATATGACTCAGACCTGAGGTGTTACGATCAAAACAACCTAATTTGTCTGAGCAGTCCTGTGGGATTTGTTTCACTCTCAAACTTCTGATGTCTCATGCACAGTCTTCATGTGCAATAATGCCCATTCCTGCCAACATATCATTAATACTGCCGTCAATCTTCTTTTGCCACGGTCAGATTTACATGTCACCCTTTGTATCAGTTCCAATAGAGACTTTTGCTACAAATGTCACTCAGAATGCACGCAGAATATAAAAACCAATTTACTCTGAGAGACTTAGTTTACACTTATTTTAGAGCAGCTGCCAGCAACGTTAACGTATATTAATAATGATTTCATTCTGTTTTTCAAAAGGACAATAAAGTTCATCAGTGCATTCATATTTAAAGCGCCTTATGTGGTCACAGGCATGTTTATTAGACAATGGCAAAGTGACTTAAACAATAAGAAGGACCAGAAATGTTTTCAAATTAACATTTTATAAAAATGTATATAAGAAGACTACAGAATAGTATATAATTTACCAACTTTTTATCCAGTTTATTATTGTGTGACTTGCCTTTTTGTACATGTAACTGGTGTACAGTTTTAAGAGAGAGTTAGATTTTATTTTATTTGGGGAATGGAAGTGTCTTTAAAGGTTGCTCCTTATTTTGTTCACAGTTTTTATATCTTACTGTAGTACAATCATTTCTGCCATTTGCATGAAATATGGCAAATAAATATAATGTGACTAATTGATAGACAGCTCCAGCACTACTCACTTCCACAGAAGCCCCCCTCTGTGATCTCCTCTTCAAACACGTCGGTGAAGCCGCGGCCTGCGTTCAATTTGGCCAGCCGTCCGTCGATGAACTACAACCATAAATTACAACGTGCTTATTAAAGAATGGAGGGGGGATGGGGGGGGTGGTTCGTGACTGTGGGGTGGGGAGGGGGGGTGGGGGCTGTGGGGGGAGGGTGGCCCACTCTCTGTAAACAGACACACAGCCACATACACACAGATTCAAACACTCCAGCCACAGTGGGGTGTTATTAATCCTACCTGACGGAAACTACATCCTAAGATTAGGTGGGTTGCAGGTAATAGGGATTTGGTAATGTGGAGCAGATGAGGGATTAGGGCAGCAGACTACATGCTGCACACTGTCTGAGACATGAGGAAGTTTCATTTCCTCCCTTTGTAACATGGAGCGCATAAAACTCCATCTCATAAATATGGACCTAACAGCCAAGACAGCTACACATTTCATGAGCACAGTCACAAACGCACATAAATATGTTATGCAGGTACAAGCAAACACGCACACAAACATCGACAAACATACCAGAAAATTTGTGATTAACACAATAAAATAACAATCTTAAATTAAGTTGAAATAAGTTGAGAGTTTTTAACAGGCCATGACTGAATAAATCAGGGGAAAACAAAATGATGTCAATAATACATGAAAGGATTTTTTCTTAGCGTTTTGGACCTTTACAAAAGCTCTGGTGCTTTCTCCCAAACACTTTACAGGCTCAGTGATCTGACTGTCCGCTGCATCTTTTTTCTCCGCCCATAAAAATATATATATATATATATATATCATCTTCCTAAATACTGAACATAAATAAAATCTTTGAATTTCGTCAAAACAATTACGTGACTGTAGATCACTCAATCACACACATGGTGCACTGTTTTCTATTAACTAAATCCAACCACATTGACCCACAAGTTGTTGTTAGTTTCCTGTCCCATCGCTTATAATATCAGCAAATCTCTGCGTGGAAAGAATACTTTCCGCTGACATCCGTAGACTCATTTTGGAAAGTGTCTGGTGTAAAAAAACAAGCAGCTGCAGAGAAGTATTTTCCTTTTATTTTCAAGATGCAAGTCTAAGGTCTACTGAAGTTCTGAAAAACAAATTTTTCTAATTTGTGCGCATCTTTGTTCTCAACTTTAAACTTAGATCTGTCCTTTTAATCCATTCAGGGCTTATTTGTGTAGAGGTGTGAGTGAAAAGCAGCCAACAATCAGCGCTGGTGTCATTTGGATTTAAAGCTGAAATTTACCGCATTAATTAACAATCATCACCTCCTACCTTTCAAACAATCTTTTGTGTTTTAAAGAAAAACAACAAATGGTACACTATTCTTTTGAATACAAAGAGTTGACAGCAACACATTGTCAGACATTTTTAACAGAGGCAATCCTACATCCACCTCTGTATCCAAAGTGTAACAACAGTGTAGGTTGTTTTAGGGTGCATGTCCTCAGGGACAGCCCGCTAACTAGCGACCGACACGGTCACCCGCTCCTCTGGTCAGGAGAGCTGGAAACTCATCATTAGATCATTTTAATGAGAGGTGAGACTGCAGGTTCCGACCACTGCTCCGCTACTTGGCTGGCCCAATTAGTGCAGATAATCAACCCAAATCATCACCTAGCCAAAGCCCCCCCCCACCCCCACCCCCCTCGCCATCTCCCTCCACACACCACAGCCAGATTACCTGCCTCACCGTGGGCCTTAATTAGACATTACTCAACAATAGCAGACCATAATCACCACACTCTCACGCACATGCAAACCAACACCAGCAGCCTATCATGCACACGTGCACGTACACAAAAACAAGTACACAAAACATGGGCTAATTTTCTTTGTTTTGAGAGTGAGCCACCAAAAAAATAAATAAATAAATGAATAAGGAAAAAAAAAACTCTCTCAAAGAAACAGAAACGAAATTTCAGGATAGGCACAAGTCAGGACCAGCTTCATCCAAACAACAGTGCAGCGGATGATTGAAGAAATTATTGTGTTCAACATATGTGAATCCAGTGATATGAAGAACAAAGTTGCTCCATGAAGCTAAAATGCTTTTGCTTTAATTTTCTTATTTATTTTTTTTTATTTTACCAAAAACAAGCTCAAGCCAAGCTATATGTGTAAATAAAGTCAAACCAAGGCATGCCGTGCAGATTCAGGCGTACCAAGATTCACACTTGGAGGCAAATCCTGCTCCATCTCTTCATGTCTACATGTCATCTTGTTTCCTGTTGCTGCTGTAGTTGCAAACAGCAGAGAGGGAGAGTTATCCCATCTGGCTACCGGAATACTGACTCACTCTCGGGTCGGTCACAGTGGTCTAGGTTTATTTAAACTCGGGAGTTGTGGAGCCTGAACTTGGGATAAGGACACTACAGGGGTTAATTTAGAGAGATAAACAGAGAGAGCCTTCAGGAAATGGAAATTATTTTTGCAACCTTGGTCTTATTTGTGGAATTTTAGCCCATAAACTGTAGATGCTGAGGGATATAGCAGAAGTCAAATGACTCAGAGGTTTCTGAGGGAGAGTTTTGAAGGTTGGATCTGGGTTTACAGCTCACCACCACTTTTGCTAGTGACTAGTGCGAGGACATCCAGCTTTGGCCAAATGGAAGGAAGACTAGGGAGCAAGTGACAACCACTAATGGTGCTTGACATGCTGAGATACATGTCAATCAAGCATAAAAAAGATGATTCTCTAAATCCCCACCAATATTCATAAAATACAATTAGCTCCAAATAAGCTAGTGATTTCTTCAAGAACCGACTATCTGAATGTTTTGTGAGAGAAAATGCAACTTTCTATAAAGGGATTCTGTGCAGTAAGAGCTTTATTTGGCCCAGTGTGTGACAGCTATTTGTGGTGTTACATCTTTATCTATTACTCTTATTGTTGTAATATGGAGACTTGTGGACTCAGTTGAACGGAAGGAGCCAACACGATTCGATTTTTAAATCTAATTATTTCGTTTCGCACCTTTCCTTCTTACCGAGAATAGCTCCACAATGATATTCATATACACAGAGAACGGTGGATGATTATTGATTGATGGGACACATATTGTCTACAAAGACATCATCAGGCCCCACTGAAGACTCAATAAAAGACTGTATAGCTTAGTTTTGTCAGTAAGAGGAACAGTGTGCGTGTGTGTGTGTGTGTGTGTGTGTGTGTGTGTGTGTGTGTGCGCCCTTGTCAGTTTGTAAGTGTGTAGGAGCTGAGGATGGTTGATAGGAAGCAGGTTAATGTCAACAGGTTTTCCTCCACATTCTTGTGGCTGATCTCTCCCACTTGTTTTGTTCAGAACAGAGATGGGCTGGTTGAGCGAAAAGAGAGGAAAAAGTCTGGGAACAAAAATGTCTTAGAAGGAGAAACTGTGACATTATAAGCCGTGTGTATAGATATATTAATTTCAGGGTTGGCTTAGTGTCTAAATTCCATAGTGACACAAGATAATCTGATTAGATCTGTGTGGATTAGAAAAAATGCAAATATTAAGTATATGATTAATTTAAGGTCCATTTACATTTCTGTAATTTAGCAGCTTTGTTTATGCAAATAACTTACAGTAAGTAGTTTGTTATAATAATAACTTTCAAGGGTATGTAAGGTAAGGGTAAGGATAGGAAAAGTTATGACTGGCCTTGACTGTCATGTGAAAGCACAATGGTCTCTTATGCCCACTGGGCTATTGAAGGTCCAAAGTATTAATAATGTTTGCTAAATTTTCAACAACAGCTCATATAAAACTGGAATTATTTGTGGCTGATCATGAAGCAAAAGAGCTGCTTTACAAGGAATGAAAACAAAACCACTAAATAAAATATCTGTAGAAAAGCAATTTCCTGCTGGGATGGTAACACCTCAAACTCATGTAACACCTCGACATGACACGTGCATGCTTCTGTATGAGTGTAATGTATTTTGTGGTCTACCAATCCAAATAATATGGGTTGAATTTGGCTCAGGTTTGATCTGGTATTGCTACAGTAAACTACTTTGAAAAATCATGTCTATCATGTGTAACTGAATAAATGCTATATATCATTAAATATTTTCTATTTGTCTAGTGCTGATGATTGGCTGCTTGATAACAAGCACAACCCAACCTATTTGTTTATACAACCCAAGCTCCTTAATGACAAACATGACGCCCTGAGCTTCCCTTCTCTTAACAATCCCATTGGGACAAAAGGCACAAGTCGTTCATTTTAACTGGAGAATAAGGAAAACATACAAACAAGCAAGTAAAATAATTAACTAGTTTCAAAAAGTTAAAAGTTTTAAAAGGTAAAACAGGTTCATTCCTGCTCCTATTGTAATATTTACAATGCAAAATTTCTGGATTTTAGTATTTTATTTAAATATATGACACATAAGTTTATTAGTTACTTTATGTGGCCAAAATGCTATTTTTGTTTTTTTTTTAATTTGGGGGAATACTAGTAAGATAGCAGTTCTATGTACAGGCCTGTAAATATTGTGCAATTTACTGATTGTTAAGACAATAGGACAAAAGGCTTAAAATAGAATAAAAGTTGGTATAAAAATAATCAATAGCAAAACAAGGAGCAGAAGTACTGGGAAAAATCCAAACATCTCTAGTCCCAGAGCATGTACTTATTTTTATAAAAGACGTATGTGTGCATGTGTGTGGCCAGGCAAGTTGAGTATTGTTTGTGTGTTTGTGAATGGATATGGGTCATGGCCGGAGCAGAGCTCGGGCGGACTGCTGGCCTCCCTCACTTTAGTCAAAAGAGGAGTGGAGGAGATAAGCTCACCCCATCCCCCGTGCTGGAGAGGAGGAGGAGGCGATAAGAACCCGTTTCCCAATGCTACTGCCGAGGCAGGAGCCAGCCGGGAGGATGCTTTGAACTGATGCTCGCTATCTGCTCTGCCTGGGAAAATTATAGACGGGGCAGAGTGTCCAGAGAAACAAAAGGCTGATTGAGGGCCGCTGTGCAGTAACTCTCGGGGGTAAATCACACTACTATCACGGGTCAGAGAGCACAAAGAAAAATTCAAGGGGTGAGAGGAAATTTTCTTCGGTGCCAGAGGTGTCTCTTCACTCGGCTCTGGCTCGGCTAAGTTTAGTATTGCTGAAGGGATTTGGGGGAAAAACATATTAAGTATACATGAGTGATTTTAAGGGAAACTCATGTAACCACACATGAATAAAGGATACCTGCTCACACACTCTGACAGACGCACAGCACATACACACGCACACGCACACACACACACTCTACATATACTGCACATAACTAAACACACAACCACAGTGGAGATATTCAGTTATCTGAGGAACAAGTTAGAATTCTAGCCACAGGCTTGTATGTACATGTTGATGACAGAATGCAATCGTGATGTGATTTTTGTACAGTAAAATCACTTTTAACAGGCCTGACTTATCATGGATTTGTTTGTACATTTGGTTAAATTGAGCAAACAGAGAGACATTAAGATGAGTGTTGAGAGATAACCACAGTAAACAGTTTCTAGGGGTCAATAACCGTGTATAATCCCAGGCCTCTCTCTTCTCCATTTCTCCTCACTCTGAACAACTGAACTGTCAAGATATTAAATACTAACTTTACCCACTTGACAGTTTGCTGAGCACAAGTGGTGCTGAGAGATACTTTTTTTATCTATAAAAATGAAGACTTTCACCCTTCTAAATAAAAATCTGCCCAAAAAATAAGCAGCTTGAAAATAAACTGACATTGATGGCAAAGAACAGAGTAACTTGCCATAAGCACTCTGTCATCTTTTCTTATTTGTGCTTGCCTATAGCTTACAGGACAGAGCTGTGCATCAATGTCAATGTACCCATGTAAGTGACAGCAGATGTTTATAGGATATAATTATGATGAATAAATGAGTAAGGGTCCCACTTGTACACATTAAGACAAATATATGCCTAGAATTTTTCACATTTTTAATGGTCAGATCAATTTTACCAGTTACAGTGCGCAAAATGAGCAGTCGATACACACTTACACACACACACACAGACAGATGTTTGTACCTGTTTGAAGAGCTGCAGGTTGACAGCCATGGACAGGAAGCTCCTCATGGTGCTGGAGCGATGGTTCACAAAGCTCTCCTCACAGAATGTGATTGGCTCCCCCTGAAGAGTCCATGGAGACATTATTGGCAAAAATTAAAATAAACAATTATTTCTAATTAATTTTGGCTCACTTTTCTTTGTACCAATCTGTTTTTCACCATGTTTACTTAGTTCAGAAATGAGCCACAGGAAGGAAGGCAGATGCGTTTGGTGTCTTGAAAGGCAGGGGGTCTAAACTAAAAAAATGTGGTTCATAATATAATTCATAGCACTATGACAATCACATAATGTCTTTTTTCACTATGCACTGTAAAAAGTCTTCTCTAACAAAGAACTATTTCAACTGATTTCTTCATAAGTGGGCCTGAAACAGAAAGTGAGTCTAAAAGAGAGACAGGAAGGAAAGAGGAAGGAAGGAGAAGGCGAAGGAAGAGTATTAGTTAAAGAAAAAAAAAACAAAAAAAAAAACAGAAAACAGTCCCTTATAAAACAGTTCCCCTGGCAGAGCGCACACGATCTCCCCCGGACCAGAAGACAGTGTCCCAGTAAACTCCCCAGTACTCTACACTAACACATTATCACATTATTACTATTTCTTACATCATGTCTGTCGGCCTGTGAGCTATAGACACGGAGGATGACAACAGAACCACTGCAGGCCAATCACACGCAGCCCCACGGTCATTTCCAATTCATGTTTTCTCATAATTAACATAATTCTCACATATTTCAATGATGCTCTAAATTCTTCTGCTGTAAAACAATGAGCTTTGTCTGTTCCAGGCTACGAGCACATTGTGGCACATAAAAACAACTTAACAACCACGGAGACTAACCCCATTTTCAGGGATGATACCAGTGGCCCAAATTACATCACAGCGATACTGCTCCACTTACATCACGAAAAGTTTTTAAGGCGTGTTCTTGTGTAAAAGCTGAGTTGAAAGCAGCTTCAGTTGTAGTTTAATCAGTTTTGCAGTCTCCATCTGGCTACTACAGCCTCGGACCATACTGCAGCGAACAAAACTGAATAGCATTCTGAGAATAACAACTATCTGCTACTAAAAAACTCTCCCAGTCAACTTTAAGACTGGGTCTGTGTACACATACCCAGTATCCTACAAAATCCTGTGGTTCACACAGACCTGCACCGAATGCCAACCGCTAGTGCTGCTAAACATCAACATTCATTTTATATTTTTAAACAGGGTTACTAAGGCCACTGTCTTGTAACTGTATTTAACCAATGAAGTTAACTTAAAACTATTTAGAGCACTAGCATGGGGCTGGTACTGTAAATGCATTAGAAGGGACAGTCATTCTCACTCACACCTGGTACTTGCAATGTTTTAGCACAGTTTACTGAATCATGAAAGGATTTAGTGCCTTGCTTGAGGACGAGTCATTTTACAGTAAATGCTGAGTGATAAACAAGAATTACTTCTTAACTTCCCCCAAGGCTGCTGTCATCGGCACTGCTGTTCTGGCAATCCCAGTGCTGAACATAAATGGCACATATATCCAGCACTAAAAATATGTTTTTTTTTGTTTTTTTTTTAAACTCCAGACTTGATTTTAATCACATTATTTATGCACGACACACACTGGGCCATCCTCCATGCATGTAAGCAAGACACCTATCTCATAGTAGATATGCTGAACCCCCAGACTAAGTGGAAGTTCTCCAAGGATGAATGTTCTGATATGGGAGGAACATAAGCAGTAAATGGAAATCAATGACTTGAGTTTAAGACACACAGGGATGTGGACGCTGCTAAATCTATGTGCTATAGTCATTTTGATTTAAATTCATATGCTGTAAATTCTGGCAAATGTGTAGCTGTTTTCATTAGATTAACAAGTGAGTGATATTTGACAGCTGCTGATGAGATCATGATGAAAGATTATGGAAATTAATGTAAAGTTATTGTTCCAGATGGATTCAATAATTACACAGAATATAACTATTAATTGGTATTGCATTTGAAGGACCAAGAAAATAGAAAATTGAAGATTGAAATTCCAAATATTAGGCTCGCACTTTTTTTTTTTTAACCCTGCGTCATTCTGATTTCATGCTGTTTACAGTTTGTTTTAATTTATTAAATTTATATTTGGTGTTTCTGTAAACCCATGTTACATGTTGGACTGGATCTGTCGTTTTATTTGATTGTTTTTTTGTTGGGTGTTTGGACATGATTTCTTTTTAGAAAAGTTGACACAACACTGTTTTTCCATTGAGTTATGTTACGCGAATAAAGCTGCGTTTCCTCCTCCTGCCACGACTTGAATGCAAAAAAAGTGTTCCCATTTAAATTTTGCAAAATATTGCTTTGTCGAACACTCCCAAAAACCACCTCATGCGAGCGTATACATTTTTTTGCAACAATTTCAAATTGCACATTAAGCAGGCTAATGGAAACACACCTAGTAACACCTCTTTAAAATAAGTTCAGCAAAAACTGAACAACCTTGAAGTGAGATTTACTGCAGGATTGTATATATTTAGAATATAGAATATATTTATATATAGATATATTCATCTGCTATACATGAGAATAATGCAATTTGAAGATAGATCTGTGTCTAAAATTGTCTATTCTACTTTTAAAGCCCAACCTGACTGAGCTCCCCGAGCACCCCCACGCCCAGGATTTCACACCTGGTTGCACGATGAACTGGTTACATGCCTACTTGAGTAGAACTTCTGCTAATTCTTCCTTAAATAGGTACCGAGCGCACAACCATGGAATATACACACCCACCTACCCGACTTGGCTTCGTCAATGGTGGTGAAAGTTAATTTGAATCGCTATTTCAGGTTCTTTTGCCAGACACGTGTGTTTTTCTAGGCTGGTGAGAAGTACCTGGGGGAGCATTGACGTGAGCTGAAATTGATGACCTAAGAAATTCTGTTTCTAATCAGCTGATTGCATTTCAACGCAGTATCATTTTCCAGTATTGTTTCATTTACAACTCAGCAAGACTCCCACTAAGCATCCACACCCCTCCTTCTGTCGAGGCATATGGGCCTGTGAACCACAGCGCTCGGCTCAGCTCAGAACAATAACTAGCAGAGTGATATTCCACAAATATCAGAACACAGGGAGTATCATCAGTATCTTCATGAACGCAGATGTGCAGTTTGTGCATGTTTATGTGTATGCATGTATGTAAACTCTAAGGCTTTTACACAGATCCCATCTAAAAGAAAACACGGAGTGAGCGTGACTGAACTGAGAATTTTGCTGCATGTTGTGTTCACACACAAAACTACACACACACACATACACAGTGAGTCTCAGTGCTTGTGTCAGAGGGGAGGCAGTTTGTTCGTATACTGTCTGTATACAGAAAAAAGAGAGACAGCATCAATAATGTAGCATCTTGACTCCGGTAGTCCACAAAGTCCAATTAATCTCAAAGCCAAAGGAACAAAGGGCTCGCTATTTGACAAACAGGACATGCTGTAGTTTGCTTTGCTCTGACTCAGACTTGATAAGCAGAAAAGATATAGAAAAGAAATGTTAGGGGGGCTTAGTAAAGGAGAGTAAAACACCAAAGGTGGCTAAAAGGGATCTTCAAAGGGAACGTCCTGACTCTTTTCAGTTCCACTGACATTTCACTGCCTCAGACAGGCCCACCTTAGCTCTGCGCTCTGACTGAAAACACACCTTTTACCTTCAGTCAAAACTGCCCCAGTCTAACCAGATGCCAGTGAAATTTGACTCAGTTCACACAAACTGAGGTCGCTACTATGTGCTACACATTCTGAAGAGCAAATATTGATGTCTGCGAATACTTTTGGATATAAATACAGCCTGTGGCCTTTATACTCAGTACAGGTTGTCTTGATATTCAAATGCATCCATAAGAGTATGAGCATTGTTGAAATGTGGTAGTTAAAACAGTTTGGGATTTCTATTTGTCTGTTGCCTGTTGATTATCCAGAGATAAATTATTCGCCCCTTTTAACAAGGTAAGCTTAAACACTGTGCCTCACTCTGGGTTTGATGGGAAACAAGAGCGTAGTCCAAAATTCATTTTCGTATATATGGGCTGTTATATGACATAGTGATGCTATAACTCATGATCACTGTAGTGATTAATGACACTGGATGCTTACGGGTTTATATCTGAGGGCATCTCGGTAGGATCCAAACAGAGCGGCCTGCGCTCTCAGGAAGGCCCTTGCCACACCACTTCCTGTTGCTGTTGACTGCTTCTTCAGCTTGCTCTTCAGAGAGGACACCTGGTGAAAACATAAAGAAAGAGCATAGGAGAGAAAAAGAGAGACAGATAGATGGAGGGAGGGAGGGGCGGAGAAAGAGAGAGAGATGGAGGGGTAAAAGTTAAATTATCACCTCTGAAATTGGTGGAGGAAACAGCTAGCCCATTCTGGGTGTGAAGTATCACATTTGCAGGTCATCTCAAAAAAGGAAAGAAAAGAAGGGGAAAAGCTTCAGCCTTTCCCCCAAGCTTATCTGTTGTGCTGCTGGGAGCACCTGCTGCTTTGCTAATTGAGCAGAGAAGGGGGGGGGGGGGCGTCGAGAGGGAGGGGACAGCGGAGAGGAAATAGAAACTCGTATCCTCACTCTTCCTCTTTCACCCCCTCTCCATGCTGCCACCCCCGCTTTCCTACCCAGCACCTTCTTGCTTTTGCACTTCTCCCTCCGTCTCTTACTCCCCTCTGCTTTCTTTCCAGTCCTCTTGTTTTCCCCTCCCCAGTTGGCTCTCCTGGACTCTCTCTAGAAAGGGACTCTTGACATAAAACGTCTTTAATTATTTTCCTCTCTCCCGGCTCTGTCTCCAGGACTCCAGGCGAGAGTGGAGAAGCAGCAGGCCCGAGCTTGTTTTAGGATGACAAAAGATTCACCCTGGCCACCGGGCCCTGGGGAGTCTGGGAAGGAAGTTGTCAAGAGGCTCTCCTCACCTGCTCAGCAGTAGTCTGACTGTGTTGTGGCAGAGCGAGGAGGAGGCAGAGATAGCGAGGGACTGCCACTCTGTGTGGGCTGTGCCAGCTTTGCACAAAAGCATGATTGGGTTGCATAGGAGGTCTAAATTACTGTAATGTAGTTTGGTGTGGGCTGTTAGCAGTTGCACAGGCTTGAATCATGATTTTAAAAGAAAACCTATGAGTATAACCTTCAACCTCAATTAGTGAAAATCACATTAATTGTATTCCTCCCTGAATAACTTTTGTTTTGCTGTACATCCTATACTGTATACCAACATATAAATATGCTAAAACCAATGCTTTCTACATAGAGCTCAGACGAATGTTGCTTACAGAACAGTGCCTACAGCTGGTAAGGATTCGTTGTCTTGCTCATGGGCACGACAACAGGGCACATTAACCAAAATTTTCCAGGCACCTACTTCACCTCTCTGTTGCCCGAATATTGGGAGAGAAAACTGACTGCAGAGGAGATAAAGTGCGTGTGAAACAACCAGGAACCAGAGTAAAATAATGTTTTTGGTTAGCAGTCTGCCTATTCGATTTCACACTGCACTGCATATTTCACCAGTCCATTCAGTCACCTCCTAATACAGTGTAACATTTAGTGGTGTGTGCTCCTGTGGCTCTGTGATCAGTGTCTGTGTCAAATATTCAAGTGTTATTCCTGACGAGTTCGTCCACCTCTGTAAAGCGACATTGAACATTTTATCACATTTATCAATATCATTAGTTTTAATCCAGTCATTGGGAGTAGCAGTATTTGTAGGCAGGAAGACAAGGAAGAAGAGATGAAAGCAGGAAAAAAAAAAAAAAAAATAGAGGTTGAGTCTGTCACTAAATGGCTCCAGTTACTCTGTAATGTGATAGCATTTTGATCAGGTCTATTTCAATCAGAGGTGGCCAAATATGTCATGCTGTGAAGCTGCAGTGTTAGAAGGATATCACGGTCTGGCGACTGCAATTAGCCTATCTGGAAAACTTCAGGGAGGAGAAGCAAAGTGTTAGCACAGCTCATACAGAGGACAGGCAGAGAGAAACAGAGAGGCTGAGAGAGAAAGAAAGAAAGTGAGACAGAGAGAGTGGCAGTCTTAAACTGGGACAAAGACAAAATGAACAGCGTCGATTCCTCTCCCCTGGGCTTTCTCACTCTCCACAACGTCCCCGTGCTGCCATTGCGAATGCTCCCAGGCATCAAATAGAAAGTTTATCACGGTTAAATTAACAAGTGTCATCTCCATATTCACTCATTGTGCTAAATGCTTTTATGTTTATGTAAAGCCCTTTCTGGAATTAATATTTCATGTTTATGTGCATTTTCACTGATTTTTTTCATCCTTGTAAATCATTAAACTGTCTTTTTCGGGGGGAGAATCAAAGCGAACACAATGTCAGTCTAAGAGGGGGAGGCATACCCCAAAGACTGTCAGAGAAGACAGGATAGCAGAGTTTACTCTGCACACAGAGTTCTGTACAGCAGCTTTGAACGGGTGAGAGCTCTGCAGTGGCAAACACTTTTTAATGAGGTGGGGACACAATCACTTGTGTTTTGCTTCCCAGTGTTTGAGAAAAATGGGTGATAAAGCGATAAGTTCGAAGTTTCACATGTGCTCACGAGTAAAATTAAGCATGATGAAAAATATTCTTCTTTAGTCACATTTGGTGATTAATTAATTTGTCACATATAACAAATATAGTAGCAGTGCATGAAAAATACCAGAAAAGCATTTTGCTAATAGAAAAATGAGGCACACTCTCCTCCTTCACATAGTCGACACAAAAAAATAAATGTATGTTTAGTAATTGGATTTTGAATATGGCGCCTACACCACAATCATCAGGTATGCCTCCACGGTAATAGCTCTGTCAAACTAATTAACTTGTACAGTTTGAGTGAAGCTAACGAGATGCGTACAGGCATCAGAGGAAGGCCAAGCTCTACAGGTGATAACCCTATTTGGCAGTGACATTTTTTAGTGTAAAGTCACAGTGGCGGTGATGAGATCAAAGAGAGAAAGTCCCCCATTGGGTCCAATTAGAACTATAGCATTGTACAGAGAAGGGGTGGCAGGAGGAGAGAGAGGAGTGGGTGGTTGGGGGAGAGGGAGAAAAAAAAAACTGTTGAGTTATGATATTCATAATCTATGCAGAGAGGCCTTTCCAGTACAGGTCTTCTCCCCATAGCTGTGATCTTTTCAATTTACATCAAGGGAAGATGGTCGGGGATGAAAGCAGGGCATCCAAGGCGCACAGCCCACAGAGGGCAGACATGGGGCCTCATTAAGGCCCAGCCCAGCTAGCCCCAAACAGGTTTTGAAGTGCGTCACATAAAGAGCATGAGGTCAAAGGTCAGACATAGAACAGATCTCCATTTAACTCTCCAGCTGGAGATGGTAATTAGCAGGTGCAATGATGATCCCTGCCTGACTGTAAGGGATGATACCACTGTAGGTGACATCAGGCATCTGTGTGAATGTGCGAGTGTCTGTGCACACAGTCTCCTCGGTGCATTGGTACATACTCAGACATCTATCAGGGATCCCAACTCATATCATACTCATTTTGCAGAATACACAGGTACTGTACACAGTATATAGACCATTTATACCAACACAGGCTTTTGGAGAAAAAGAAAAGAAACCCAACCTGACAAAATGGTCTTAGTTTTATCACTGCATGAGCAAGCAATATTTCAATACAAAGTGATGGTATAAAAAGAGACAGGCCACACAACATATGAAGCCTGATCACTATTAGTTAACAACAAAACACAGAAAACAAAACATGCCAAAATGTACGAGCTGGGCTGACAATATTATATTTACTATTAAGTAAATAATTTAAAAAAGTGATAAAAATCAGTAAGTGAAAGAAAAAAGTTACACACAAACTATGAGTATATATTTAGATTTTTCCACTAAATTTTCACTAGAGCATAAAAAACCCTCCCAAATAACAACCCTGACACTTGTCTGTTGTTTAAAAAAATAAATAAATAAATAAAAAGTTGGATTTTCTTCTCACAAAAAAAGAATGTTTTGTTTAAGATTCTGTCCAGGGAAAGAAAGCCATGGGGACGCAATTAAAGAACTACAAAGAAAAAAATAGTTATGAAAATCTCCCACTTTCTTTTGATGTGCTGCAGTCTGAACTGTACACACACACACACACAGACGTACGCACAAACACACATACAAATCTGAACAAAGACACACACAGAGCCGGCGTATATTCTCACACATGCACATACAGTATCTACATGTACACAATGAGCATGTAATTTGGAATCTGGAAAATTCATTCATTCAATCCATTTAAAATAAAAATGATTTGTTTTTAAATGAACTCCTTTTTTTGGGTCATACGATAAAACTGCACAATTATCAGGATATTACTTAAGTTGATGGGGTGGAGTCAACTACAGTCTCTTATAAGCAACCACATAAAATAGCCAACTAAAAGCCTGAGGTCAGATTTTAAAAATAACTCCAGCGAATATTGAATAAAAAAAAATGATGGGATGAAATATGTAAAAATAGAGAAAGACTAGAATAGATATACTATTAAAGCTCATAGTGATACATATTCTTAGTTATCCAGTATGTTGATCTGCTGTTAAGCACATGCAATACAATAAATTAGCCAGGCGAAATGAAAAAGAGTGAGAAAGCAAAGGGGAGAAAGAGTCTATGTGTGTGTGTTTTAATAGGTCTTTCTCATTGCCATGAGATTCTCCCCGGTGTGAGGTTACTTTGTCAAGCTGACCTCTTATAGCAGCTGAGCGGCTGAGTTTTGCATACATAATTAACTACAGCTAAATGTCATCTCTCACTTCAATAACTAACGCAGTGGGTGATGCTGCTCTCCCTTTTTGACTTCTAATCTGGAGTGAACCGCCGGCAGAACGACTATGTGAAAATGAAGTGCAGCTTTTAAACTCCACATGAGTAAATGAAGAGCTGCTAAGGCTGCGGAGAGAGTGTATGCACAGTTCAGCGCCATTTAAAACAATCGTAACCTGTCAAATAATGTTTCAAAAGAGCAGATCTCGACATTTGCAGTTGGTAAAAGTACAGACTCAACAACAACAGCAAAATCAGATACTTTGCTTGGAGCATGTTATTATCCGCTGTAGCACCGAGTTTCTGGTAAAGTACAGTATGTAACTGAGGTGGAGCAACAACATTCCCAGCACTCAGCTACCATGTAGTTAGTACAGCATGTGAGGGGCTTTACTGTAGGTGGCTCCGCTATACTGGGAAGACACCAGTGAAATGAAACACACTTGGCTGCATCGAAACTAAACATGGGGGAATCTGGTGGACAAACCAAAAATCTGTGAGTAGCAAAAGTTTACTTCTGTACTAGATCTGAGTGTCATTGATGTACATTCCTGGCCAACAGTGTGTAGGTGTTTCTGTGTGTGTCTGTTCGGCTGCGCGTGAGTGTTGCTGCTGTCGGCTGTACTCTGTTGTAGATGATGATGTAGATGTTGTTTTCTGGGAGCGTCGGAAACTGAACACCAAATTAAAGCCGCGATGTTTGATTAAGTGTGCCAGGTGATCTCAGGAGAGGCGCACAGACACAACCTCAACCCCCTCATTCATTTGTAAACCTCCAAATGCAGGCTTGAAATACAGGAAGTAGGAGTGTACGCTGTAAATTCCCCCCTTGATTGGGAATACAAATGATCAAATGTATGAAGGCTTGGAATGTATGGGTACACGGTGTCAGCAAAGTAGCGAGTGGCAGAGAGGAGGAGAATAGAAGGAATTAGGCTGTGATCTGAAAGAGAGCATCTGAAAATAAAGATGTAAGCTGCATTGTAGCACCTCACCTTGAATATGTGGCACAGAAAGAATAATACATGAAAAAATTCTTCCGTCATTGGTTTGAGATCAATTGCCGGGATCAAATACAAATCTGATTCAGTCACACACTGTTTGTTTTCAGAATTAACAGACTCCTAATTTGCTATTCTTGGATACTTTTAATGACTAGCGCGGTAAACAGCTCCACCAACCAAAAGCCAATTATAACTTTATCAGCACAATCTCTGTGCGGAAGAGGAACTGTGGATCTCAGAAAAAGAAACAAAAGTACCTTGATCTTCCAGGGAAAAACTACCGTTTTTTTATTGACTATTTCTTTTCAGTGTGCTTGTCAACACATTGATTTTACTGACACAAGCGGAGTCTCTCTGAGATTATTATGATTTATTAATGGGTAAAAACTATTGAAACTTTCAGTTCAAACTTAAGCAGTCTTAAAATATACAAAATCCTGCTAAAAATGCACTACATAAAATAAAAAAAAGGATCTATTCCTCTAATAATATCACAATGTTTATTTAAAATGAGCTCGAATAAAGGAGCAACAGAATTCCTTGATCTCCATTATTTTTTCATACAAAGATACAAAAAATATACTCGTTAAAATAGAAAATGTTTAGACTGACATTCAAAAGATATGATGCATGTTACAACTAAAAAATTATAAAGGGGGGAACAAAAAAATAGACAAATCCAGACCAAAAGCACAATTAATGCTGGACCTCTGGTTCTAACGTGACGTTCCAATTAAAAAAAAATTACAGAAGTTATTCTCAAAAGATTGTTGCATCCTTTTTTGACCCGTTACCAATTACTCTCTTATTCAGATCTTTCCTTTTTTTGCTAAACGGAACCGCTACTGGCATGGTAGCATTTGTAATAGTCAATAAATCTAAAATATTATGTGTGAAATTGTGGGAAAAGACCATTAAGGGGCGGGCACTAGTGGAGCCGGTGTAGGGGTCCTGTCTGAAAGAGGGCGGCTAATTCAGGACAACTGTGAACTCTGAACCTGCTAAAAGCACGGCCACTGGTCAGCCGGGCAACGTAATAGAGTCCACATGTGCTCACAGCCTGCGTTGCCATAATTAGACGGAACTCTTAAGGTTTGCTTAAATCAACATCAGAGTGCTTTGTTTTCCCTCTTAGTTAGACTTGAAATACGCAAAAAAAATTGCCTGTGGCCTTTATGTTTTACCATTACATACTTTATATATTCATACAAAGTGATGCTGGGCTTTTAAAGTGAGAATAATCTTTACTTCATGAGTCTCAGAGCTTCTGTTTCACACTGAATAAAGCTTGAGTGTTAAGTAGCCAGTGTTACAGTGAGAATTAGAGAGAAATGAATAGTGGTTTTAATAGCTCAGAAACAACACGCGGCAGTTCAGCTCAGGCAGAGAATCGCTCAGCATTAATCAAGATTTCAGGCCTCTGTTTGACAAACTGCACAATGCCTCAAACATCTCCGCGTGTGTAAACACAAACATCAAATGCCATGTGGCATGTCCTCATCACTAACAAGCAAACTAACAAGAGACCTGGAATTCCACTCAATTAGTACCTGCTCGCTTCCTTATTAATCTACTAGCCCTGGTGAAAAGATCAGAGGAGACAGGAAAAAAAAAAATGAATAGGAAAAAAAACAAAAAAAAAAACAACAACAATTTGTTACAATAAATATATTAATGCCAGTGAAGCTTCCGTTTCAGGTTGTGTAATTTGACATGATATGCGGGCTATGTTCTGTCATTAGTCAGGAAAAATGGTGAGTAGGGGATCAAAGCAAAAAGGCTCTGAGCCTGCCACTTAATTTATCACACGGCAAAGACAAAGGCTTTTCTCTCTGCTTCTGTCGCTTTTCAAAAGCCCTGACTCCTTTTTATGACAAACTCAGTTTGCAGTTTAATTTAGGACTTAAGTCCCTGGGTGCAGAAAAGCAAGCAGACAGGAAGTGAGAAGATGGTACTGCAGCCAGACAGGCACACAGGCAAAGAAGCCTGAGAAGCAAACAGCGGGTGCAAGACGCGTCCAGGCTGGCGGTAAGTACTCTCAGAGAGAGACAAGAACGCAGACAGGTGTCATGAAACTCAAGCAGCCAGGCAGCCAGGCAGGCGAATGGGTAGGCAGGCAAACAGGCAAAAAAGTAAGCAGGAAATGATATAAAATATAGGAGATATCACACTATTGCAGGTAGGCATTCACACACACTAGCAGTTGTAGTAGGCTGAGCAGTGCTAAATCAGGAGAACCAGAGAAGTGTGGGAGTGTGAGAAGGTCTGGAGTCTGCTGGGCAGTGGATTGAATTATATACTGCCGTTAGGGCAGGAGTTCGGTAGGCGGTGGAACCTGAGTATATACTGTTAGCAGCGTGGGTAATAGTGCGTCCACAGCCTCAGCGGGGCCTCAGTGCCTCACAGAGGAGCTTTAATACACACACCCAGAAAAACAGCTAAACAAACAGATTCCTGCTTTGACAAAGACAGGGAAGACAAGCAAGTGTGTTGTTCTGAATGTGTGTGTGTGTCTGTGTCTGTGTGTGTGTGTGTGTGTGTGTGTGTTTAAGTGTGTGTAAAACTGCAAGTGACCCTGATGCCGTGGTGATGCTTCCTGTAGCACTGACCGGCGTCAGTGCTCCATTAATTAAAGAGATGATGCGCTGGCAGGTGGCTTCACGGCCCACACTGGTAATTGGCCCCCTTCTTCCCACTCTCTCCCCCTAGAAAATCACCCATCTCTGCCTTTTCTTTTCTTTTCTCTGCCTCGTTCCCTCCTCCTATCTCTCGTTCTCAGAAACGTGCCAGTGGGCAGGCAGAAATGCAAGACTTTGTGAAATAATGATTAGAATGGATGGAGATGAAGGGAAAGGAGTTGCACATTTTCCCACAAGCCTCTGATGGTCGGGGAATGCTGTTCGCCTTCAAGCGTCATACGACGCAACGGGAGTTTACTTTAGACAGCCACAATATGAGGAGCCAGTGCAGCAGTCATTAATGATGTGGGGAGGGGACAGAGCTGTACTTTGACAAGTTTCTGCATGTGTATGCGTATGCTGTGTTTTTTCAGCGTGTGTGTGTGTGTATGTGTTTGCACATGGGCACAAGTGTAAGTATCTGAGTATGAGAGACATTGGAGGACAAGAGAATTTGCATTTATGCAAGTGAGACTTGAAGTGAAAGTGGAAAAAAGAACCTTCTGTGTGTCATGCGTGATGAGACAATAAAGGTTGAGAAACTCTGAAAGGTAGGTGTCTGCGTGTGTGTGTGTGTGTGTGTGTGTGTGTGTGTGTGTGTGTGTGTGTGACTCACCACGTCACTGGGCAGGTTGTGCAGGTCATCAAAGGGACTCTCCATGGTGTTGGTATCCACATTCAGAATGACCACATCCTCCAATGATCGACTGCGTACCTTCTAAAAGAGAAAATGTGCAGTGTTATCAGCAACAGTACACTGTCTCACAATACTGAACAAATCTCCACCTGTATTATTATTAAAACATGTCAAATGTATGTACAAGTTCGTATATAATTTTTTTTAAAAAGTGTCTGTTTTTGCATAATAAGTTATTATAAAAATCTGATCTTGCAAATTTTTTTTCAAACTGTACATGTTTGCTTTTTTGTTGTACCTTAAAGCAATTCATTATTTTAATTTATTTTTTTTTACAATACTTATTATACTGAGAGATTCCTGTGTGTTTGTCATATATTGGTTCATGAAGTAATAAAGAAAATGTAATTTTGTTAACAATTAAATCATGAAATTAAGTTAACATTTTAAAATCCCTGGTTTGGCCCAAATGTGTTTCCCAGCAGACACAGTCATTGATGTCCTGAAGCACCAGGAAGGAGAAAACACAGCGGTCACATTTAAAAAAAAAAACACTGTCATTGCACTCCTTTACGATTAAAAATGAAAAATGGCGTGTAGGAAAAGAAATATTAGAACATCTTTACTATAACACACAGACTCACAAAATGAAGAACGACACTGAGAGGAAACATTTGGATTGCACAAACATTTTCCACTGCACCAAAACCTCATACATCAACAACAGCACAGTGATGCTGTGCTGTGCTGTGTGCATCCTGATGGCGACAAATTCAACAATTATTTCAGTGTGGTGCAGGATGCAGGCAGGTGTCGGGGGGTGGGGGGGAGACAGCATAGTGTGTGAATTTCTAGTTTGTCACTTTTGTGACAGCCTGTGCAGTGGAGGCTCACATGCTGATCTGGACTAATTATGTAGTGGTGGAAAGGGGGTCTGTCACGGATGCAGAGTGTGATAAATACTGCCACTGCCGCAACTGTCAGACAAATATCACACACACACACACACACACACACACACACACACACACACACACACACACACACACACACACACACACACACACACACACACGTGCATTATAACATATGCATTTGCAAAATTACACACACACACACACATACACACACACACACACACACACACACACACACACACACACACACACACACACACACAGAGACAAACACTTCCATACTAACACTTACACACGAGTGCAAATATGCGCGTGCTTGCAGCATGCATTCATACACGACAGCAGTGCTGGTGACCCCCCAGCCAACACACAGGGTTTAACAATGAAGTAGAAAAGCTCTTTGTTTGCAGATGCTTTTCTGCCTTTCTCTCTCTGTCTTTTGTACTTCTGGTTAAGAATGCTCACAAGCAAGAGAGGGAGATAAAGAGAAAAAAACATTCTGTCAGTTTTTTTGATTCGATGTGTTGGAGGTGCCAAGAACTGCCTTACAGAAATTTAAAATATTTCACACCAAAATTAAGAGCACATTTTACCATAGCAGGTGCAGCATTACTATATACATTTACAGCATCTTCCATAAATGTTTTTATTTATTTTTTTTTTTTTAAAGAAAATCCATTGACCAGGACCCTGAAATTCATGATATATATATCTGAATAAAATTAGGAAACATCCTCATTTAACTGTTGATGTACAGAGTTTGTACACATATATACTTCAATTTGCAACAGCGTGTATAATTATGCACATAGAGTAGAATGATGTACATTTATATACATGCACATTCATATGCATACACATCCCCACAGATTAAGTGACGTACCTCCAGCAGACTAAGATGAACTCCCACAAAGTATGGCATGGGGGCACTGTGGATGAAGAGAGGAAAACAAAGCTGTGAGCAATATCAATATCAGATGGTTACATGCAGTAAAGAAATATTTATGGAGGCTTCACCAGAACAGCACATTTCACACACGCTTCTGAAAAAATAAAAACTTTGATGTTGAGGATACTCTTTCATCAACAGATTAGTCTGCAGAAATGTATTAAATTACTGTTCTGATATTTGATTATTCTTTAGCTATTCACGACATGACCTGACTGTGATATCGCTTGTAATAGCATCTGTGATTAACATGTTACAGACTGAATTATTAATTTGAAAAACAAAAATAAAGACAAATAAATAAATAAAATACTAAAAGACCTAAAAATAAGAAAAACTAAGACTATTTTAAAAGTAAAATCTTTTTTTTTATCATTGCTGGAAATTAGATGAAAACTATTGCACCACAACAGATGTGCGGTGGCTGTATTGAAAACAATCAAAACTGTATATTTTAATTCGGCTGCACATGTCATAATATAAGCATAACACAGGCAACAAAACTGACTATCATCCATATGTTGTTTTAACCAAATCATATTCGCTGACTATTCCGAATTATTTTATCCCTCTCAAATTGGTAAAACAACTATAAATTAACTGGTGTGTGTAGCAGGACAAACCAACACATCTGGTGTTACTGTTTTTTAAAGAGTTGAAGTTACCTGGTAAAACAGAGAACAAACAAGTTTCTCCTTCATTCTGCTGCTAATGAGTAGTTTTGATTTTCAGTCACTGAATGTGTTTCCAAGTGGTTTGTCCATTAAATTATCCAAAATTGTCCCACATCAGTATGCATAAATTTACCAGGAAAGACATTACAGAAAAAATACACAGCATAATGTTGCAACTGTTATTAGTACTACCTTTCTAATGATAAAAATAATATTATCAATGAAAATAACTGTCTTTGCAAGACATTTAATGGAGTTTTCCTCTGACAAAGATGGTAGATGCAGGAAGTACGGAAAGACTTGGAACACGGTCGAGAAAGCTAAAGGGTAGAAGTGTCAAAAGTTTTCTTTTTATACTAAAAAAATATACTTTGCATGGTTATTATTGTTTAATTTATACTTTACGTCATATTTATCTTCATACTGAAAGTTACTGGCAAGGAAAGGTTGAATCATAAGAGTATGATTCCCATCTACCATGATGAATAAAATCAACAAAAACAGTCAAATAATAGAAACCTTTTTTATGATGAGGTTTACACAGGCAGCAATAATCGAATAGCTTTGGGTCAGTGTATTCCTGGCCAGAATGATTCAGAAGCCACAGGCTTGTAATCAACTTAAAGCAACAGCAAAACAAACAGCAGGCCTGTAGCTCGGCGCTGTAGCTGCTGTCCTCTCTGTTTTATGAATATACATTACTGACTTTCATGAACATTTACACAGAGATACATGCGCATATAAAGACCAGCATGCACAGAAAGTCACATGTATCGTACACACACACACACACACACACACACACACACACACACACAGCATGTAATATTATTTAGTTATCTAATCAGTGCTTGGAGAACACCCATGTGATTAAATAAGATAACGATGAGTCTTCACAGAGTGTTGAAAATCACATTTTACTGTCAGTGATGAATAGCTTCTCAAAGCTGATGTGTCCCTCATGGTGAAGCCCTGTACTGTACAAGCTATCAGCACTGATTCCACAAAAAACAGCTCCTTTTACATAAGCTGACTTCCCCACTCTGCGTTTTCTTTTAACATGTACAGATCTGAAGTTGACCTGAACGCACGTAGGTTTGTAGATGAGCTGTTACTTCTGCTCTCCATTCAGTTTCAATCAAGTCCATTCAGATTTGTAAGATTTGCGTTGGATGGGTGGTAATGAACCCCTGAGAGGGCTCCGATGATGAGAGCGTGGAGCTAGCACTGGCATGAAATATGGAGCAAGGTGATCTGGGTTGTTCATTATGTTGAGGGGCCGCACAGGAGAAGGCGCACCATGAGAGGAATCGTGAGAACCACTCCAAGAATGGGTGGGAGAATGTGTGAACATGTGCATCTGCAATTTTACACCAAGGTTTTAGCGGTAGAGTTCAGTGCATGACCAGCACACATGGCGTGGTATGTGTTTACGTGCACTATGTGTCAGGCGTGCGTGCGTGTGCATGTGTGTGTGGGAAAGTGGCTGGAAAATGAGAGAAAGAAGGACAGAAAGTGGCAGAAGAGAAACAGGGAGGTGTAAACATTTATTATGATGATCCTGACTGTGTGTGTGTGTGTGTGTGTGTGTGTGTGTGTGTGTGTGTGTGTGTCTTTCAGAGGTGGTCAGCCTTACCAGCAATAGTCCAGAAGATGCGGGGGCAGTACAGGGATGAAGATGTGCTGCCAGTACATGGGGAAGAGCAAAGCAGCCGCACCGTGGACACATGCAGTTAACTAGAGAGAAAGAAAGAGACAAGGCGACAAAGTCAACATAACTTTCCATGACAACACAAATACTAAGACAAAAATACCCTTCTGTGCTTCTGTGATTGATTGATTTCACTCCTAAGAACTGCCCCTTGGAAAGAACAGCCGCAAACTGAGAAAAGAATATAATAAATTTGCATTAAATACACTGTTATTCTTTCTTTTCTTGTTTCTATTGCATTTCTACAACTTATTTAACAAGGTTTCTACACTGCCAAGGTCTATAGAGAACAACAGCTCTACTTCCATCCAAGCAATATCCTCTTAATATCCTGTTTTTAAAAAAATGCACACGTCTGATCAAGCTGGTTCATGTTGCGATGCCTTTTACTGATGCGTTGATGTACTTTGATTTCATTGACTTATCACTGACAAACATGTTGTGAGCCTTTAACCCTGCTCATAGACAAAAGCCCTCAGAAACACATGGTACACTGACGTGCCTAGTGCTGCTGTGATAGTGATGAACACACGACCTGCAAGCTATTGTCGAAAGGAAGAGAAGAACTGAGACTGAGAGCTGGAGATCAACCAGTCGACAGGAGCCTGTCTTTAACCTCGTGACAGAAAAACAGCGGAGGAGAGGAAGATCGATGAAGAGGTGAAAAGAAAAGTATAGAAAAGACTGACATGAGGAAAGGCAGCAACTTCTTTACACACACACACACACACACACACACACACACACACACGAAGCCAATGTTTCCTCTACACTGATTCTGTTGTGGTGTGTCATCACTGCAATAATATCACTACTATCGCACATGCCAATCTGAATTAAAAAATTATTTAAAGTACAGATTCATGCATCTTTTGAACACAAAAATGAGCGCAAATACCGTCCCCGTGTTCATAATTAACTGCTTTTCAATTCAACGTCAAAGTAAGAATTGTGCTGCGACCTGCACAAAAGCAACAAAGGGAGCCCAAAACAGTGCTGACAGTAACCATAAAAATCAAAATTACCCCAACTACTATGACTAGGAAATTAAAGAGAAAATATGGAATAATTAACCTCTTTTTTTAACAAATAATGAGAAGCAATCACATGAAGATGACATTCCTTTTCAAAGAAGCTCTCTACATTGTCAAACCAACATTACACATAAAATTAAAGTCATTGTCTCACAGTGTCTTAAAGCAAGCATCCCCCTCTTGACATCCCATCTCATGAAAACCTAGCTATAGTAATGACCTGCAACACACACACACACACACACACACACACACACACACACACACACACACACACACACACACACCACACACACCCACACACACAACAACACAACGCACACACACACACACACACAAGGCAGGAGAAAGAGGCTTTAGCTCATCCCCCAGATTAAAATAACATGATTAAATATGGAAAGAGAACAGAGGTCTGAGGGGCTCCTGCGGGACTTCATTAGGGCAAATTGCCAAAGAATGAAACATGAGTTAGCCAAGAGAGACTGCGGGCTAGGCCAATACCGCCGGGACCCCGGAGCAGCAGCCGCTGTTATACTGCTGCAGCTTCATAGTCAATGTGTGAAGCGGACACACACTATCACACACACAAGCACAACTACCAGGAGACCCCCTGCTCACTGACACACACAGTGTCACAATTGACCGGCCAAAAGTGGGCGAGCTTGGCGGCTGAAAACCACCGCCGCCAGAGAAAAAGAAAGAGGGCCCCACCCCTCGCAATCCACCCAAACATCAAGCCTGGACATCTGAAAGGCTCACGACAAAAAGTGTGTGTGTGTGTGTGTGTGTGTTTGTCTGTGTCCATGTGCCTCCCTCCCTGCATGTTTAACTGCATCCATTTTTCATATCGGCCAGAAGAAGAAAAAAAAAAAAAGCAATGATCTTTTTTTTTTTGTCTCTGTGCAATCTCTCATACACCCAGTCCCACAATAGTTAGGACTTAATCAACATTTAATTGGTGTCTTGCTCTGTGTATCTGCATATGCATATTTACACTGCCTGCCGTCTTCAAATAAAACACAACAATGCCACGCTCCTGTCAGGATTAATTCCCTGGCAAACAGTTTGTTTTTATTGTTAATTCTGAAAATAAATCAATGCTATGAATATTAATGTGTGGAAGTGAAGCACTTGGTGGAAGAGATACCATCAAAACCAACACACCCTTCTCCCTTTCCTAAAGCAATGACGGTAACAGGCCATTAAATTGTGATGAAGAGAGGTCAGCAAACCGGCTACGGGTATACATACACACATATGTACACGTGTCACGCACGTGCACGCACGCACGCACACACACACACACACACACACACAGCAGAGAGCCAACAGGCGAGTGTATTCCTCCTCGGGGAGTGCGAGACAAGCCCCAGCCATTCGCTGATACCAGGAGGTAATGGCACAGAACACCTCGCTAACCAACTCCAATTATCTCCACCAGGCCTCAAGGTGAGTCCCCCAACTGGCATGATTTACTCTCAGGTTGAAAGGGAAAACAGGAGTCTCTCTCCCTCTCTCTCTCTGTTTCTCTTCTTCTCAGGCTGGGTGGCTGGCTTCAGGGAGTTGGCCGAGAGGGGAAGGGGGGGTGTGGGGGGTGTACTGAAACTAAGATAATGATTTATAAAGCAAATCTAGATTTCTGTTTTCTTTTATTTCCTATCTCCAAAGCGATGGAGGTGGCAGTGTGCCTGAGATAAGGTAACTTGGAGGGAACTGCAGAGGAATAGTTCACATATTTGCTTCTCTAATTCAGCTTAATACAAATCCCTGTGTCCTTGTTAAGGCTTTAGAACGAATGAGGCAAAAAGTAAAAGGAAGATAAATTGGAAAAAAGAGAAATTGTACTCCTCTTTTTTTTTTCTTCATTTAAAGGGGGGCTTCACATGAGAGTGGGTCATGAGAGGCTAAGGCTGATAAAATATTTGCCAGGCTGATAAATAATAGATGAGTGGAGCCAAATGGCTTACACGCTCCACAAAAGACCTGGGTGCTTAATATTCCATTCAATGGAGAATCACAGATACAGTCCCCAAGAACAAATACAGGATTAGGTGCTGGGTCCAGTCCTCGGGGACCAGGGCTCTGCCTGGTAATGAGGGGCTGCCTGCCTCTCACACTGGGTGTGTGTGTGTGTGTGGGTGTGTGTGTGTTGCGCCTTCCTCTGAGAGAAGCTAACCGATTATACAGCGACAGCCTGCTTCAAAAAACAGTCAAGGTCTTTGGTTCTGCCCTGAGAGCTTTCTTAGTGCGCTGTATCTGAGACAGAAAGTGTCCATACTAACACTGGTTTTCCCAGATCCATTCAATGACACTGAAGGAAGAAGAGACAGAAAGGGAAAGACGGGGAGACTTCAAGACATGAAGAGGAGGAGGTGATAGTGGGAGAAGAAGGAAGAATGAAGAAAAGAGAAAAAAATTTGCATTGCAACTTTGAAGTAGGTAGAAATAAACCTAAGCTCTGAGGTCACACACCAGGTTTGTCAATAACGTGGTCTGAGTGTGAGTCAGCAGCTTTGTTTCAATTCCAGACAACATACGAATAGTATACAGTATGTACTGCATATTCAATGTTTTTGCCTATTGTTAGTTAGTGTACAAAAAATACTTCCAATACTTTTCCAATACCAATACAAAAACGATACGTGTGCGCTGTTGGATGTCAATCAAACGGCACCTTTGGAATGCCACTGACAATTAAACTTCACAAAAGAGACATTAAAATGTTTTTCCAAAGATTTAAGACTTATTTTTTTGTTCTCCGCTGTGTTCACAAAGCTCTTTTACCGTCATTAACAATTTGTTTAAATAATTTCCAGCTGTGAGCAGCTACTCTGTTTCCTTTGTGCATTGCATTGCGGGACAATAATGTCCATCAACAGCACACTCTGTTTTTGGTGTGCGCACTTGTGTGACGGAGTACTTAATTTTGTTTGTTTGTTTTTGTTTGTTTGTTTTGTGAGCATACCACATAGTTCAAACACTCTAAAAAATTAAGTATGAATAAAGCTAATATGATTTTTATACAGGTAAATTACCAAATTATGACACACAGATAAAAGAAAAATGTTAATTATATGTGGGCTGCAAACAAACTATATTCAGCCATATTCAGATGAGCTTGTCCCTCTACATTCCTGAACATCAACTCAGCCCTTCAACAGTGATGTTTCCTTAAAGAACTAGACCCACCAGAGACCTCAGATCTTCTCAACACTGCAACTCTGAGCTCTGCAGACTCTGTCAGTAAGCAGTGTGTTTCCACCCACACCATTCCTCTTTACCTGAGCAACTGGACATGTTGAAGTGAAACACAGACAGAAAAGAGAAACAGCTACTGTGGGGGCCTACACACACCACTTTCACATATTATTTTACATATAAAAGGGGCAATACAAAGGTGATTGTGAATATAGCCAGCACCCATTCTCTCTGCTTACATGCTCTTCTCAGATGAAGAAACTAATTGCATGTGTTAAATTACAGGGAGGGCAGAGTGCGAGACAAATAGCTGCTGCTGAAGGCAATGGAATTCAATTTGACAGGAGGAATGGCATCAACAGTGTTGTTCTTGACCTCCTCACACCAGCCTTAAACACTCATTTCCCCTCCACAAGCCTTTCCTTCCAACTCTGTCCCTACGCACTCTCCAAATCCTTATTTCCCGGTCTCATTTTCATCCCAATTCTTCATTCCTTATTCTGTTTTCCCCCTCTCCTCCTGCTGTCCTTCTGTCCGTTGCCACCTCTCCCTCGTTCCTCATGTTTGTTTATCGCTGTGTTAGCCTTTCCCTCTCCCCTCCCCTGCACCGAGTAAGTCGCCAATTACCTGCGCTCTTCTTTTCCCTCTGTTGACAAACACTGATGTCAGGCCCGGCACAATGCAGGTGTGCCACAAACAAGTAGGTGGCACAGGGAGAGAGAGAGGGGGCACACAGGACAACGCAGGTAACAGCTAACGCCAGGCCTCCCACACATGCACACACAGTCACCGACTCGCTCACAGAAAGACATACGGCATAAGGCACAAACACCTGTGAGTGCGGAAGACACACACAAACAGATGCATGCAAAAAAAAAAAAAACACACACACACACACACACACACACACACACACACACACACACACACACACACACACACACACACACACACACACACACACACACACACACACACACACACACACACACACACACACACACACATGCAAACACCAACAACATGCACGTATGCACATACACGGCCACAGTGGCACAACACAAACGTTAAGTCAGACACATGGCATGGGGCTGAGATAAGTCTATTGAGGGGAAGGGAGGGGAGGAGGGGGGAGAATGTCCCGATGTTCTGCGGATGCCCAACAACAGAGAGAGACATTAAGACACCCAGGAAGAAGGAGGTAAAGGCAGAGAGAAAGAGAGGTGCAGACTGCAGAGTGAGTGAGAGACAGATGGACAGAAAAATAATATGTCAGTGAGCAGGAATAACTAAGACAGAGAGAAATAGAGAGAAGTCAGGGAAAGAGAGGAGAGGAAGAACAGAGGAAAAGGCAGGAAACAGAGAGACAGCTGGCACTCTAGGGCATGGTGGATGGATAGCTCCTTGTTAGCATAGGCCTGACAGGCTGATGAGAGGGCTGCTGTCAGCTGGTGCTGGGGCCGAGCTGTGTGAGTTTGGGCGATAGGCAGGGCAGAGGCTGGGCTCGAGAGCTGGGGGGCCTCGGCAGATGAAAGACACGGAGGGCGGTGGGGCGATGGTGGTGGTGGTGGTGGTGGTGGTGGGGGGTGGGTCCTCCCAACTGACTAGTTAGAGGAAGGGCCGATGCAGCCCTATTATACGGCCCTGTGACAAGGCTGCACGCTCGGCTGGCTCCCGCCCCTGCGCCACCGCCGACCGGCCTTTTAAAACAGTGGTACCATTCACCTCTGGTCACGAAACAGCAATAAGTCAACTGACGCATTGTTGTAAGATCATGATTTATTCCTTTGCTGTTGGCTGCTTGCGAGACGCGCCGGCCATGTACCGACAGACTGACACAGTGGGTTCACCGGGGGCTTTAACACAGGCAGCACCTAGAGCAGGCAGAATAAATGCAGTATTTCTGTGTGTGTGTGTGTGTGTGTGTGTGTGTCTTTCGCTCTCTCGCTCTCTCTCTCTCTGCTCTTTCCTTTGCCTGTTTCTCTCTGCTTGGCTGAGAGGCTGGACAGGCGGAGGTGGTGAAAAGCAGCTGGATGGTACTAACGATGTTACTAACAATACCCTCTCTCATACATCCTCTATCTGTGGCAAGCAAACTATAGAAATATTACCTGTCTATCCAGTGACTGCTAACACTCACTTTAACAAACATTTTGACAAACTCTGACATTAATTATATATTTCTCATCCTTTAAGATATTTGATCACAAGACAGTGGTGTGGATAATGAGCTGCGCTCTTTTCAGTTAAGTACATATACATAACTGGCTTCAAGAATCATGGCAGCCATTTCCACCTGAACTAGGAGGTCAATCTTCCAAACAGCAAAAAATAACGCATCACAGGAGCAGTAATAACACTAGGCCTGCTAGTAATCCCAGTGGAGATGTGAAAATACCTTTGTACTACAGTGCCTGACATATATCGCTACCAAACCAAAACACCTCTCCCCGAGGAAGATGGATGGATAGACAGATGAGTGGATGAAGGATTGCAGAGGATAAAAGGCTCACAGAGGTAAAGGTCTGACGTGGAAGCTCTTAAAATATCCTGTCGGCATATATTTGTTAAAAAAACAAGCCAAGATTTGTCTCTGAGCCGCAGAAAACTGTAAATCACAGACTAAAATCACCTCCACCCCCTCTTCCTTCTAAAAAGAAAAACACCTTCACCCTTGAGTCTGATAATTTACATCGTGTAACCCTTGTGTCACAGCACTGTGTGTTGCCTATACCCTGAGTGGAAGTGCTACTGGTCTGAAGAGCTGAGGGGAGACAGGTGAAACTCTCTGAGGGCTGGGTAATTTTTTACAGCTCATGCTGATTATAGCTCCTATGGGATACCTTGGTACAGTCTCCCCCAGAACCCATCACCACCACAGGCCCCTCCGGCTGTTCAGTGTTCTGCAGCCTTGTAGATACAGAGGCAGGACCAGCTACACTACAGATACAGATAGGACTTGGATGACATCACTTCCCTCTTCCATCTCATCTGTCATAAACATTTGCCTCTGCCTCATCAGTCTCAAAGATAACAGGGGGAGGATGGAATGAGGAACAGAGGGAGGAAGGGGGGAGAAAGACATAGAGAGATTTCCTCCCTCATGCAGACAGAAGTGACTTTAAATTATGTGAGCGAGCTAAGACACGTAATAACGGATAATTTAAGGCTTTGTGGCCATTAATATGTTGCAGTTACAAGACAAACAGTCAAATATAATCCAGCCTTAGTACGGATTTCACAGCTTGTCAGAGCTTGGCGATAGTGCGGCTGTCTTGACTGCAGGATGCCAGGGTGGGGATGGGTGGGGGGCTGGGGGCTGGGGGTGGGGGTGGGGGGGTGGGGGGGGTGCGGGGGGGGATCAGTTCAACTCACTCCGTACATGAAGCATAGCCATGTCAGATAAATATTCTCATCGTGCTACTTAGGGTTTGATATCCTGCTGGAATATTGATGAAGAGAATCATGTTCAATCTAGGAAGCAGTCCCAACATTTGAGCTATATACTTTTTTGGCAGAGTACTTCGATATCTGAATTTGACATGAAGCCAAAAATCGCAACTGTGACTCTATGACTGTAAATTAGCAACATTTTCTCATATTGATATAATTCTTTGGGGATGCAGGAGAGGTAGCGTGCAAGAATCCCACAGTATCTAACATGGCAAACTGAAAACACAAAGTGTAACATTTCATGACTGAAAGCTTCATCAAAACTTGAATGAAATGTTTAGGAAACTTATGCCAACACATACACCAACAATGTTTTGACATTACTCATCCTTCAAGTAGTTGGGATGTTTTAACTGTTTTCTAACCTATTTCCCCCTCGTGTCTGACAGGGCAGAGCTGATAACTGACTGCAGCGGAGAGAATGGACTCACAGTGCTAAGCTTGCTTGAGGTAATGATGATGCGCCGTTCGTGCAGCATACTGGCGTAGAGCTGGAGCATGTTGTTGACGTCCACAGCCACAAAGTACTCTGTCAGGTTCCTCTGGAGATAGACAGGAACAGAAGGATATTGCAGGTACATAATAAACTGTCTTTGCTTGCAGTAAAGTGTCAGTGCTACAGACGGTGAGAGTGCCACAGTGTGCCATAACGAGAGACATGCAGTACTGGATGGAAAAGGACTTGGACTTCCACCACGGCACATATTATATATAAAAAAAAAAGTGGACAAAAAGTACAGATTTAAATGACATTTCTGCTTTTATCCATACATTATAGTCATGTTTAGAAAACTGATACAGTATCAATCAATATTGCTTAAAACTGCCAGACTGATTACTGTTTTCCTCTGGTGTCACTTGCCATTAAGACTAAAGATGATATGCGCTACCAAGATTTGGGAAGACTTGGGATGATATGAGCTACGATTTAAATACTCAACAAAGAACATGTGTTCAGTTTGAATCCTCTAATACCCATGGTGATCACTGAACTTCGACATTAAAAGTACAAGCACCACAGGAGATAAAACTGAAACAAGAGGATGATGCAATAATTTCAAAAGGTGACAAGTGTATCTGATTAAAAACGATTAGAGGCAGAGATTTCTAGAGGAGAGGGATCTCTCTTTGTCTCCTTCGGTCTCTTTTCTTTTCTTTTTCCATGAATACTTACACTCTCAGGGATAGTTGGCAGTCCATTGATATCCGGGGCGATGAAGTAGGAGTGCTGCGAAACACAAACATGCGGGAGAAAGAAGAGGGAAGGTCACAAGTGAAGCATACCACTCACACAGAAGAGAATGAGGGGAAGAGGGGGGAAAAAGGCCGTTCACTTTGTTCTATGATTTATGGCTCATCTTCAGCTCTGTCTATATGAATTGCTGAGCTGGTGTCTGAACTGTGGCAATGCTTTTATCAGGCCTACAGAACAGAGAAAGCTCAATAGCAGCTCAGCTCCCCATAGACACAGACTGGGGTGATGTCTCCGGTGGAAAACTGGAGTCTTTATTTAAGCATTAAAAAGGCTTGTGGAGCACCAAGACACAGACAAAAGTATACGTGCACGTGTGCGCACGTGTGCATCCACACAGACACACACTCACAGGTTGTTTAGTGGATCACAGGGCTGCCTGTCTCACTTTGGGAGAGCAGGGCAGGTTCAGTGTTCAGATCAAAGGGGCCTGAGAGAGGTGCTGTTTGGAGACAGGTAGACAAACCACCAACTGAAACACACCATCATGTCTCTCTCTCTCTTTCTCACACACACACACACACACACACACACACACACACACACGCTCCTGTATCCTTAGTACACCTGTGTTTTTCTGGGCCTTCACTCGACCATCTGTTGCAGGTCTTCACTTAAATCAACTGTAGTGTGTACAGTAGATTCTCTTACACTACAAACACAGTATTTAAAGTAAAATATTACAATTTATTCATCTGTACAGGGTCTACACTTGTGACTACTACTGACTTGTTTTGCGAATTGTTGTACTAATAATGTCAGGCTCGCACATAGTGTTTGCTCAAATGTTAGAAAATTTATTTAATTTGTGGCCCCTGTGGGAGGAAGAATGGTATCCAACACCTGAGAGTTGGTTGTAATAAGCCATTATGTTTATGACCTAAGGCTGATAATTAAACACTTCTTCTAATTTTTATAACTGCACATGAATGCACCTCTGTGGCACCTTAGTCAACATGCATTAAATAGAAAAACATCTATTCAAAAATATAATTTAAATGGCGGCCAATTAATTTCAATCAATATAAGACAAAGTGACAGTTACACATTATATCACAAACAACATAATCAAGAGTATGCAAACATGGAAACCCATTGTAAACCAGCAACCCCACAGAAAGTATCACCACCGAGAGGGAAAGATGTCTCTGATTTAAGAGACACAAGAACACAAGAGAGGACAGAAAGCCCCACCCATCAGTCAGAAAGAAGATAAATGGAAATTTAAATCCATGACAATGGAAAAATATCAGCTTAATGTCTGAAGCAAAGTCACAACAATTTGTTTTAATGCGACATGATACATGTTCAAAAAGTTGGACTTTATTCAGTGCCATTTGAAACAGTGCTGGGTTAACCCTAAGCCATGGCATTATTCAGCTGACTGAGTCAAGGTTAAACATAAGCACCTATTACTACATAAAGTGCTGCTGATCTGACCAGTATTGTTCTGGTGCCTGACACTGAAATTTCCCTAAATCATATATTCATTCAACAGTTTGAAATTTCTACCAATTGCTAAAAATTCCATTTCCACTAGTAAAAAGACTTATGCTAATTAGTCTTTGAGCAAATAAATCACTAAATGTAATAATTAAAAAGAAATAACAACACATAACCAAGCACTTTTTGTCTGTTGTTGACTTTGGAATATTAAGTTCAATGTAAAACAAACTAAAATATTTTACTCCCTAAGTGCACATGTATTAAGTGTGAAAACTGAAAAAAATTAACATGAGTAAACAACTGTTATATTCCCAAATGAGGGTCATTGTTGTAGTCGAATGAAGCTTAGAGTAGATAAACATGTGGCACAAATAAACACTAAATTGGAACCAACATCCAAGGCTTTGCCTTTTGATTTTATTTTCCTGGGCAAAAGATATACGTTCACAAATGTAGGATTTGTCAACTCCCACGCGCCATTCCTTTATGGTAAGTGAATTTGTGGAAATGTTTGACTTATTACAGCCATATTTTATGCATATTTTATACAAATGTGAAAATCTATCTACAAAAAAAAATACACTATTATTCTTGACATGGCAGTTAAAGAAGTCAAAGTCCTACTCTAAATTCAGTCCTGAACATGCATGCAATGTAAGAATTTTGGTAGAATAAGGTCTCTTCCACCCTGTTTCCAGCAGCAACACGCTAAATATACATGTTTAATATACTAGTTGATGTTATGTTAAAAATATGAATTCTTGGCAGATCAAAAATTTCCACCATCAGCCAACCAATTGTTTTATTTACACGAAGCTTTTTGCCCGTAAGCAAGATGGAAGCAAAACCACCAGGTTTTTCTGCCCTAAAGTAATGTGAGCTGGGAAATGAAGAAGTATTTAATGTTTTTATTTTGTTTATTCTGATGATTTATTCTGATTTCAATTACTGTGTCTTGGGTAAATTTTGAATTGCTTTGCCACAGAATTTTCTTTTTAGGGTATATTGCTTGGTTTGTGTATATACTGTAGCTCAGAAGCAGAGGTAGGCTAGTTAGCATTGCAAGTAACTTCTGCTACTGCACAAATAATCGGAACATTTATTACACACGTATAACTACATGAAATACTACAAGGCTAGACAGCTAATGAACCTCAGGGATTAGCTGTATGGATTTTTTAGTACAAAAATACTGAATAATTGAGACTGTATTGGCTTCATTTTTTTTAATCAAATTGTGTGGACAGCAAGCGTTGTTAAAAATCTTTGTTTCAAAGTTATGTTTCGTAAACCTATTCGTAAACCCACTGAAAAGAATACAGGATAAGGATAATTAAAAGTAAATAAGCCAAACAAATAAATTATTGTAAAAGATCAGGGACTTTGGGAAATACATTTGAGGCTAAAGATACCCCCTGTAACTGCCACACGTACATTAAAGTATACCGTACAGTATAAATCTCTCGGTACCTCCGTCTTTCTTTTCCTTCTGTCTGCTAAATAATGTTTCCTTCCCTGTTGGTCGACAAATTTGTGGCATTGTGATAATCACAAGCCATGCTCCTTAACTCAACCCAGGCTTTCATTGGCTGTTTGCTTGCTTATCTGCTTTTTTCTTGTTCTTTCAATCACATGTTTATATAAAAACAGTGAAAGTGGGTTAACTGGAAAGGCATCAAGGAGATTTTTTGAGCACAATTGCGTTTGCTTTAAACATAAAGAGAGGGAAAAAAAAACTTTTGATATTCAGAGAGAGAATATAGCAGAGTGGAATGGCATTAATCATTTACAAAGTTTGATTGTTTTCCAGAGGAGAAGAAACATACACCAAGGCCCAGGATAGTTTGTTTTTGTTATATTTAAAAAGATAGCGCAGCTTATTTGGCCAAATTGGAAAGCCGTGGCTCCCATGCGATTAGTACAGCAGCAGTTTCATATTTCACAGCAGCCTCCTTCCCTCCTCCCAACTCTGCTGTTCACTCATTCCCCTCCACTCACCGGCTCCTTGCTTTGCCGATCTCGCAGTACTTGCCCAGTGGCAATATACAACTGCTCATTCTTGCACAATAAGATAGGGAGAGAGAGAGAGCAAAACAGGGTTCACACATGAAAGGGGACAATGATCCTTCTTCTTGGCTGCCATGATAAAACAAAAACCACTCTTTTAGGGAATAATTCTGGTTCATCAATTAAATATCAAACTAGTGGCTTCTACAGAAAAGAGATGAAGCTATCACCTCTGTTCTCCGGGGCTTCTTTTCCAATGAAGCTCAGAGATTCAGATGAAAAGGTTTAGTTCGCATGGAGAGCTGATAAAAATTTAAAAAAAAACTGACACAAAGAAAAGATAAATCACAAGGAATCTTAATTGACCTTGTTAACCTTCATAGAGATATATCGATTACCTCATATTAGTCGTGTTACGCTGTATATTCATCTGTGTAATTAGATGCGTATCCTTCAGAGACCTATGCCGCAGAAAAGACCCAGAGTTGCTTCTTTAATTGGTTCAAAAAAAGGAGCCATGGTTTTCAAGGACAGAGGCTAACACTGAAACTCTTTTGATCCCATTACGGTGTAAGTCTTTGCAACTCAAGATATTAGTGAACAAAATACTGAGAGTGTACCAGTCCCATTGAAAACCATTAAATTCTACTTATATAGGACAGGTTTATGGTAGCTAAAACTGTTTAAGAGTGAGTGTTTTATGTACGAGCTGGAAACACACAAGGAGAGATTGTGTCAGAGTTAACGCAAACACAGGCCGACTTTGAGGGACCTGGGATCATTAAGCCATTTCAGTGCTTGATAAGCAGGAGACATGATGAGTTGTGAAAGGAGCCTTCAAGTTTAAACATGTCCAGCTCGAGCTTATCACACAAAAACCTGTTAGTGCCACTTCTTGTTTCCAAACAGAGTGTCAGTGGTGGGCCCCTCTGTGTCTCTCTGTTCATACCTAGTGTATCCTAACCTCTTCCTGCTCTCCACTTTCTGTCTGCTCTGCTGCTCCCTCATTTATCTCCTCCATCTCAACCTCTTTCCTTTGTTGATCTCTCCCCATTTCTGCCTGTCTGCCCTATTTTCTTTTTGTCTGTTTTCATGCCATCTTTGTCTCCTCCTCTCTTCTTTGTGTCAATTTCATTTTAGTTCTCATTAGTCCTCAATCTTTGTCTCCACTTTTTTTCTATTCCACCTCTTGTCTTTAGTATCTTTCGCTCTACTTTTAACTACTTCAGCCATCATCTCCTCTTCTTCTCTACAGTCTCCTTCCTGATGCAAGACACTCCTAGAGTAACCTGGCCCTCTCTCCCTCTTTCTCTGTCTACCCTCAGTTGTCTTGCCTCTGATAAGGGGGGATATAAGATCTATACCTACCACACTCAGGTTGACTGGCGTGAAGGGCTTTGGCACAGGCAGATCATAGAGAGAATTCAGCATGTCATTCAAGTCATTTTCCTGCGAGAGAGAAACAAATAACAAAAGAAAGAAAAACATAAAAACATAGGACACATGAATTTTATTTACTTATGGTGTTGATGTCACGAGTTATGTGTCAATCTTAGCAACAGTGTTGGGACAGGCACTGCTGCAGACCAGAGGGCAATCCTGCAGCGAGGCCTGAAGGGCTCCAAAACATCCGACTGACATATGTTTAACGAGCAATGCTGAGGTTAAAAGACGGCTGAGCGTAGGGCTGCAGACGCTTATTATCCAGCAGCGTTGATTTACGGCCGAGAGCGGGCTGTCAGTAATTAAGCAGGGGTCTATGCTCTAAAGACAGGGGCTTTAAGAAGCCGTCAGAGAGCTTGCTTGACCACAGAACAGGCCCCGAGATTATTCTTCCAGCATTTATGAGCTCCACGACAAGACTGTTATTTACACTCTCGAGCCACTAGCTGGAAAACTGAGGGGGACAAAACTTTGCAACTTGTATTTAAACTAAACTAAACTACTGTGAACACAGAGGTTGGGCACTGTTTGTTTTAGCTTCTTTTTCTGTTGCCCTCTCATAGAACTTTGTTTTGGTCTTGGCAATGAGCTGTTGCTTGTTTGAGGAAATGTGCATGTTGTGTGAGTCTGTTTATGTGTGTGTGTGTGTGTGTGTGTGTGTGTGTGTGTGTGTGTGTGTGTGTGTGTGTGTGTGTGTGTGGCATGTGTGAGCCAAAGAGAAAAGGAAACTCAAGAGGAATGGGCGGCAATATACAGTAAAGAGAAGAAGAAGGGTGGGAGGAAGGGGTGTTAGGGTGTGTGCAATCGAACAGCCTCCTGTCATGAGAGGCTCAATGCTCACACGCATGGTCAGCAACACGGCCTGGGGAAACAGTTCATTTACCCTTCGCCTTAAACCCTCATCGCTCTTCTGTCTTCCCTCGTCTGTCAACATCTCCCTCTCGACTGGAACGGACAGCGGGGTAAATAGAAACCAAATCATGCACACTAACACTTCAGTCACCCAGGATTTCCAGCAATCTTTCTGTCTTTCTTTCCCTCACTCTTTCCCCACACACAAACTGTCCTATTCTGCTCGTCTCTCTCTATATATTCGATTATCCTGCTGAATTCCTTTCAGTCACAGAAGTGCGTGTATGTTTATGCGATTGTCTACTTTAGCGAGACTCTTAGTCCTGATCACTGCTCTCTGAGGGTCTCTGAGGGAAGCAGTGACTACATGACAATTGAAAGTGGTCCCAAAGCTCTCTGCTCTCTCTCCCCTTGCTCTGTCTTCCTCCCTCCTTCTTCCTCTCTCTTCAGTCTAAACATGGGAACATCACCTACACCCTCTGCGCTAGACGCTGCACATCTCCCCAGTTTGTTGCATATTTTACATTTCTCCTCCCTTTGCTAGTACAATGCAGTGAATAGTCAGGGGAAAAGACTTTTGTGAAATGCGAGCGTGTGTGTGTGTGTGTGTGTGTGTGTGTGTGTGTGTGTGTTTTTTTTTTCTTAACGATTTGTTTTCCAGTAAATCATCAGGAATAACTTCCAGTGTCAGATCAGCGTTTGGTCTGTGAAATGTCAACATTGTTGCTGCTAACAACAGAAGCCAAGTCAAGCCCAAGACGGCGAACAAAACTTGCACACAAAAGACAACATGCAGCATGCAGAGGAAGAACAGAATGGAGGAAAATATCTTACCACAGTACCGTTTCAAATACACAAAACTGTACGATTGTCTCTCAGTCAAATCATGCTACCATGTCTTATTGTCATATTATGTACTGGTAAAGCACTTATTGTACATAAAATGCTCAACGATACATAAGGAGTCCAAAAGAGATCAGTACCTGTTGTTTCGTTAGGTAGTCTGCCAGCGTGTTTAGCAGCTTGTAGTAGATTTCAAACCACGGTAGATAACTGGAAGAGACAGAGAAACAAAGGTATATATTAGAACTCCGTACAAGCAAAAATTATTTCATCATATACAATAAACAAATCAAAGCAGATTAGTGTGTAATGTATAAATCAGTATAGAGTCCATTCCTGCTGGATGTAAAAGTGCAACACACGCAGAGGGATTCAGTTCCTTGAAAACTTTTTGTGTGTCATTATCCGAGCTTTGTCACAGTGTGTATAAATAATTTCACTATCTGCTGGACAGCGCAAAAAGTCTGACTGGATTTATGTACTGGCTAATGTCAGTGAGCTAATGCTTCAAACATCAAATGTATACAGGACATTGAAAAATGTATTTTGTTCCCAGAGACAGCTGCTCCAAAGCACACTCCAAAGTCATTCAAAAAAAAAAGGTAAACGCTATCTAGTCCTTATTTTGACATTCTTCGTAACCAGGGCTCTCTGCATGCTATGAATTCCTGTCATGTCTGCTCTTTCAGCCAATAGGAAGGGAGGATAGAAGAAAAAAAAACACAATAGATTTTAGATTCTTTACCAACAAAAAAAACAAAAAAAACACCATAGCTTTCATGTGATGCGGAGGGATGCTATGGTTTACAAGCATGCTGCTCCCAGATGCACAGGCTTAACAAAAATGCAGCCCAAGATGCCTCCTGCCTCCCCCCTTTTCTCCACCTCCTCTTCCTCCTCCTGCCCCTCTCTCTGCTTCTTTTCATGCCCTTCACATATTAAAAAAAAATCTTTGCCTTATGTAATTAATGTAAAATAAATAAATTCATTAACAAGCTCAAAATAATTTATACTGCAGTGTTTGTGCTAAAGCTAATCACTAAGTACACCCACCATAAGCTAAAAGCATCTGCAGCATGGCTTTCTTTACAAAGTTGACATATTCTTGGCCAAGTCGACTTGCTTTCTTGGTGGAAGATGGCCAACATTTTCTTTTGGCATAAAAGCTGTGAGGGCTCAGTTCATTTAATGTTATGTAATCAAATAATAAAAACATGGTGTCCTATCAAGGTATTGAATTTCTATTTAGTTTGGGGTTTAAACATGCAGGTTTGAACATTGCATGAATAATGATTCTGGATAAGGACTTCTTAGCATTGCGATGAAATAAACAGAAACTCCCATTAATGTTTCATTAACTTGCCGAGATGCAAGGGTTGAAAAATAAATTAGTGGCCAAATGAGCCAGTCAATCAAATGTGGACTTGCTCACTGAATCTGGTGAATATTTGTTGATGTCAGTAAGTGAACACAGTCTTAAATACAAGTTATTAAATTTCATTAAAATTAAAAAATCTGACAAGCAGCTAAAATCTGCATTTCCATGATTATATAACAATAAATTTGTAAGAGTTTTGAGTGTGTGAGTTTATAAGCCAGAGAAGTCCTGCTCAGGCAGTTAGCAGGAGACTGAGGAGTATCCAGGGCATGGGTCACTGGCTGCTCTGTAGACTGGAATTAACAGACAACAAGAAAACAATAAAGTGAACCTAATGCAAATTTTCATATCGCTAAATCCGCAAGGGGCCAATGACAGGCCGGGTTCCCGGAGAAGTGCAGCCAAGCGCACCAATCAGAGAGGCTGAGTGACCATTAGTCTGAAACAATCAGCCTCTTAACATGCCAATATTTTGACGTCTGCATGAAGATTTACCACAATCAGGTCACACTCGCAGGAGAAGCTAAATCAAACATGCGTATGTTAATTCACAAGCTGACCGGATATCAACCTGAAGACCTATTTCTGCCACATCAAACGACATACAACACGAATATCTGCATATGGGGTCATCTTACATTTAACCATTACACAAAAAGTTCAGGCTGATATAATGACTAAGGGGGAGAACAAAGCCTTTGTATTATCTGCCTCCTGTTTGACTTGTATTTAAAAAGCCAGGCTTCTGGACATTAATCCTTTATTTTTCACAGTTGAAGGGGATGTAAATAGGACTCTGGCTGTCAGAGGAGCCGTCAGGCCTCACAGTTCTCACAGTCATTGCACTCCTACACCAAGGTGCTGTAAATCCTTTGTTTTAGAGGAAAATGCATGATCACTGGTGGAGGCAGCCAACCCCGAATATCAATATTCCTTTAACATCTTCCCACAATATATAGTGGATTTATATGCTTTATTCAAATGCAATAGAATTAATATAACTTAAAGATGCATGTTTTGCCCCCCCCCCCGCTCTGCTCTCTCTGTTGATGCAAAGTTAAAGTTTGGAAAGCATAGAGAGATACTCCTACTCGTCACAGTTCATTGCTCAGATCTGTTTGTGCTTCGCAAATCCTCCGATAGAGAGAAGCATCCATCACTGGAGTGCTCAGTGCGTGGGGGCCCCGCAATCTCTCCTGCCATTTTAAACACACGTCTTCTCAAAGTGCCATGTACTCAAAGAATGAACCAGTTAATCTGCGGCCCACTCACAGCCCGTCGTGCTCTCTCCATCCTCAATTCAGACCACCTAACGGCATGGAAATATCTAACAGAAGACAGGGCCATGGAAGTGCCTTTGGAACTTCTAATTAAGCTGTTCTGAATAGGAGTGCACACAAACACCAAAGTGGCTTAAATCTTTCAAAATTTGCTTTCACAAGCGTTGTATACATCCACAGTCAAAATCTAGAGTGAAATAACACAAACTATCCATAAAATCTCTGAAAATTGTGGAAACACCTCATGCTTATAGACCTCGGTACTTAGTTGTTTGATGAAACTTAAATACCGGAGCACTACTTTCAGCCCATTTTGCCACCATAAAGTACCGGTTGTGTGTTAAGCATGACATGTATTCCTGCTCCTTAGATGAGTCTTAAATTTCCTTTAATGCACAGGCACCTGTAACCGTAAGTCATCTTACACTTTGTAGACGGCTCAGAGAAAGATTTCATTACACCTTTTCTTTCTCAGGTCAAGGGTTAAGTACAGGAAAGGAAGTGTCCTCCGGCAACCCAATAAGTGACCACTAACCAGAGCTATGCAGTCCCTAAAATGCATCCTAAAGCCTCAGCCTTTAAATAAAACTGAGGAAATCCATATTTTTCATCTCTGAATTACTCACATGTTCAACAGAAAATCCTTCAAAGTGTGAGAGACAAAGAGAAGACAGGAGAATAACGGTATAAAATAGTGCAAGTTATAATTCTCTGTTTTTGTGTGTCTGTGTGTGAGTGTGAGTGTGTGGGTTTTTTTTTTCTTGGACATTTTTCCTGGCCCTTTTGGCCATGGCTTTAGCAATGAGACTATAAAGGGCTGTACACATAAAACTGTCCTACTCATTAAGGCACTTCCTCCCGTAAGCAGAGGTGACAATTTTATGGTCCCAGCACTTCAACAATCACACAGACGCAAACTGTTTTAATTACCTTTATTTTATATCCATGGGAAATGAGAGATAAAATTAATATAAACTAGTGGGCCTGGTCCTTCGTGCTTTAGATTTGAACCAGATAAATTTCAACTGATAATTCTCTAAGATAAACAACTAACATAATCTGTATTTTTGCAGTTCCTCTATGGTTACACATTTTTTAACAGAGGCAATCTGTTTTAATTTCTTTAATATTAGCTAACATAACTAATATGTTGGAATAGAAGCAGCTTAAATAATTATAAACAATAAAAATAAACTTTTGACCAAGACCCTTGAACACACTTGATTTACACATTTCTCACATTTTTTCAACGAGATATCTAAAATGTTCACTTATCTATTCCCTCCACAGTGGGGCTATTTAAGATAGGAAAAGGATAAAGATCAGGGTAAAAATAAATAAAAAGAAAAGAATGAAAACGCAACTGGGGAGCACACAAACAATTTAAAAAAAAAAAAAAAAAAAAAAAAGAAAAAACCACAGGGGGGGACCCAAAAAAATTTAAAAAAAAAAAAAAAAAAAAAAAACTTTCTATATGTTATTTTATTATAAATGAAGTAAGCCATGCAAACTACTCAGAATGCATAATGAATTTTATACATCATATGTCAAATGAATTAGCATGTCTAACTCAGCGAGAGGGACAGGGGAGCCTCTGCTAATTGGCAGCGAAGCTTCATGCATAATTATGGGCCAAGCGTCTTTGCTGTCGCACCGTGGCAGTAGCCGAATAACGAGGAGAAAAGAGAGAGAGAGAGAGAGAGAGAGAGAGAGAGAGAGAGAGAGAGAGAGAGAGAGAGAGAAAGAGAGAGAAAGAGGGAGAAAGAGAGAGAGAAAAGAAACACAAAGGCCATGGAAGCTGGCCGGGAAGGGTGGGTGGTGTGGGGAGGAGGGACACTGTTCTTCACAGCAGCTCATCAGGGCAGCGACAAACCCACGACTGTCCATCATCAGCCACACACACACACACACACACACACACACACACACACACACACACACACATACATACAGAGGCGAGAGCAACACTTATAGGAGTGCTGCTTTACACCAAGATGAAGAAAAGGCTTTGTGCTCCTTTTCCAGTTTGTTGTTTGTTAAACTGCTTAATACAGTCATTAAAAATGGATTTATTTTGTACATTTTCCTCAGTTGGGTCTAAAGTGCATAAGCCTGTCAACTGAGATTAGCACTGGAGTGCTCCTTCTTTGTAATGGTAAGGTAATTACATCTGTAAAAACATTGTGTCAACATGCAATTACATGGGAATTAAATGATAATAGCCTTTGTTGGAGAGTAATTGTGTGAAGAAAACACAATTTTCCTGGGTTTGGTGTCCTCATTTATGTACCCTGTGATATGATAAATCCACCTATGAAATATCAAAAAACTGCTAAACTTTTGGATAATTATAGGCACATCACTAACATATTTGTGTGGGCAGATGAGAATATAAATTTGTTATTCTGGCATAGTGCAGCTCAGTGTGAAGTGTGAGAATGAATGAAAATGTTGTCTCAAAAATCTGTTTTCACTTCTAGGATCTGGTAAATTAATTTTTTTCATCACACTTGAGAAATAAATGCAGATATTTAAAAAACCTTGTTCTGACAGTGATTCATAGATAATTTGCAAAAGGGCAGGACAGACCAAGTCTTGGTTATTTGAATGAGTAAATAAAGACACTGGTGTTTGAACAAGGCTTGTTTCAGATATTCTATTGATTCTGATTCCAGAAGTAAAATGAGAAAGGCTGACTTTAAATGTTTGGATTTATACTTAATAGCTTTTAGGACATCCAAATGCCTTTATTTTGACATTTATTTAATTTATGGACATCGAATATGTTCATTCCTCTTGAAAATATAAAGTGTATGATGTGTTAAAGACTGCAACGAGACTCACTGCGCTAGGACAAAATGGTTTTGAATGAAGAATACAAAAGAAATGTATGTATCTTATTAATTTCACACATAAAACAAGTAAAGTGTGTGTGTGTGTGTGTGTGTGTGTGTGTGTGTGTGTGTGTGCATGCGCGCTACCTGAGCAGACATATGCAGACCCGGCAGCCTTGAGTGAGTCGACAGAAACCAAACCTCTGTTTGCCGTCGATGTCCGTCAGCACAAAGGTGAAATTCTGCCCCACCTGACTCTGGGAAACCCTGGAACCTGACACAAGGGACACACACACACACACACACACACTCACAAATGATCAAACCACATAAAGGCTTTCCAATCAACAGAATACAGTAGGATGAAGTAAATCTATGAAATCTTGTAAATTTAAAATACTTGAAAAACACAGATCAGGCAGACTACATCAGAAAAGAACTCTTTTTAACAGTCCAGTCTCACCATGACCTAAATCTCTAGTCAAGGTCCAAATCTGATGTCACATATTTCCAGTATGGCAGCTTGAAAAACTGTAAAAAGCTTTTCTAACCCCAAGGTAAATTCCAGTGAAACTCAGTACATCCTTACACCACTAGATGGCAGCAGCTCAGCTTCAGTAAAAGACCGTACAGTCCTCCCCTTCCACCCTCCCTCTCTCCCTCTCTGTCTTTACAATGGGAATTTTAACATGTCATTTTCCATACTGAAAACAAGAGCCCGGTACTTTTCAGAGAGCCGGTGGCCTGACCGGACCTGTGTTACATAGCCAGAAACTCACTTCCTTATATTCTGAATTCTTTCACACACACGCAATCATAAACATGCTACTGTGCATGACATATCAAGTGGGCTGGTCACTGATGACCTCATCATTATCGTTAACATGTGTCCTCACCATCACAGCATTTATGTTTTAGGGATATTTTGCTAATAGCTGTGATGTTTTTCTAAAATCTTATGCGGGAACATTTTGTAAGGGTTTAAGACCAGAAAGGCCACTTCCAAATACAAATGCACATCATTGTTAAACTTTGACAGTCGGTAAATAGTCATGTGATAGTATCAAAGAGTGACTTCAATTTTAAAGTTCATCACACAAGTGTGTGTGATGCACACCACATCTTCTCATTTCCCTTTTTAAATGTATATGTGTCTCTGTAAGGGGGAGAAGAGCTAGGTGTTCATAATTTTATGTATGTGTGTGTGTGTGTGTGTGTGTGTGTGTGTGTGTGTGTGTGTGTGTGTGTGTGTGTGTGTGTGTGTGTGTGTGTGCTATGTGAAGGAGGTGAAAGTGAGCCGTGGTGCTAAAAAACACAGAAGCAGAGAAGGAGAGGAATCGTACCTTTCCACGTCAAAGGGAAAGCAGAACTTTGGTATCGTCTGAAGGACCTCCTGAGAAACCAGAACAGAGAGAGAGACACACACACACACCCTTTTAGAGAAACACACATCACAAGGAAAACAATAACTGTGTATTTCAATATAAAGATCTCTTGGGCTTCCACTAAGTGAGTGCTATCAACTGGCTGAACAAAATGAGGATTAATGTTAAACGCTGCTGATAGCAATCTGACAAAGTCTTCACATCCCAAACACTGCAGCCTAAATGCACTTAATCCAAATGAATGGGCAATATAAACCACTTCATTTGGCAGAACAGAGTGGAAAGTCTCCCTTTTTTTTTTCAAGGTTGGGGAGGGATCCTCGATCCACAGCTTGAATAATTAGCAGTTAATAAGTTCATCGATTATCTGGTGCCAAAAGGAGATGAAAAGATGAAGGAAGAGAGAGAAAGAAAGAAAGAGAGAAAGAGAGAGAGAGAGAGAGAGAGAGGTGTGCACAGGAGATGAATAGTTAAAATGGTGAATAATGAGATAGAACGGAAAGAAGAAGAGATGAGATAGGAGAGACAAAG